AATACTTGCTGATAAAAGTAAGTATATAAATATATAACTAAATTCAGAATACACTAACATTGTAATGCTCGTATGTAAATAATTTACAACACTAGTATAAGACCTAAAAGACAAAAGTCTTAAAATAACTACAGCTACAATAACTTGTGAATGGAGACACAATGTTAAAAAGATGTAAATTGGGACATCAGTAACCAAATGTGGGGGAAGGAATGTAAAAATGTAGAGCTTTTGTATGTGCTTGAGGTTAAGTTGTTATCAGATTAAAATAGACTGTTATGTATACACAAAATATTATGCATAAACCTTATAGTCACTATAAAACAAAACCTTCAGTAGATAGACAAAAGATAAAAGTATCAAAGCATACAAACAATAGAAAATCATTAAATCACAAAGAGAGCAAGAGTAGAAGAAAGGAATGCCAAAATGTCCAGAAAGCAATGAACAAAATGGAAATATTAAGTTCATATGTAACAATAATTACTATAAGTGTGAGAAGACTAAATTCTCCAAACAAAAGACATACAGTGGTTGATGGACATAAAGTAAAAACCAACCACGCACGACCTAAAAGAATAGCTCCAGCTTTAAGGACACATACAGACTGAAAGAGAAGAGATTAAAAAAAAAGATTTTCCCATGCAAACAGAAAGAGAGCAATGGTAGCTCTAACTGCTATCAGACTAAATAAACATTCAGTCTAAAACAATAGGGAAAATAAGATCACTACATAATGATAAGGGAGTAAATTCAAAGGGATATAATCACTATAAATACCTAGGCACCTAATGTCAGCCACCTAGAAATAGAAATAAATTATTAACAGATCTGAGGGGGAAAATAGACAGCGATACAATAACAGTAGGAGACTTCAGTGCCCTCCTTTTAACAATGGACAGGTGGCATCAAACCAGTCAGTAGATCAGATGGACCTCACAGACATTTACAGAACCTTCTAACCAACAGCAGCAGACTACACCTTTCTCAAGCACACATGGAACATGTTCTAGGAGAGATCATATGTTAAGCCACAAAACAAGTCTTCATCAATTTAAGAAAGCCAGAATCACCTCTATGCTTTTTCTAACCATAATGGCATGAAACTTAAAATCAATTACAAGAAAGCAAAAATTCACACATACGTGGAGATTAAACAACATTCTTCTAAACAAACAGTGAATCAACAAAGAAATCAAACGGGAAATAAAAAAAATCTTGAGGCAAATGAAAAATGGAAACACTACCAAAAACATACCAAGCTTATGAGGAAACATACCAAAAACTTATGGGATGCAGGAAAAGTAGTTCTAAGAAGGAAGTTTATAGTGATAAACACCTACATTAAGAAAAAGAAAGCTCTCACATAAAGCTAACATGACATCTAAAGAACTAGAGAAAGAAGAACTAAGCCCAAAGTTAGTATAAGGAAGGAAATAACAAAACAAAATGGAAATAAATAAAATATAGGCTAGAAGGACAATAGAAAAGATCAATGAAACTAAGAGCTGATTTTTTGAAAAGGTTAACAAAATTGACAAAACATTAACTAACTTAAGAGAGAGAGAAAACTGAAATATAAGATCAGAAGTGAAAGAAGACACATTATAACCGATATCACAGATATACTAAGAACTGCAAGAAACTGTTATGAACAATTGTACACCAACAGATTTCTTCTAGGATAACCAAGGAGAAATTAACACATTTCTGGGAACATATAACTAACCAAGAATGAATTATGAAGAAACAGAAAATCTGAGCAGAACAATAATGAGTGATGAAATTGAAGCAGTAATCAAAAGACTCCCAACAAAAGGAAACCCAGGACCAGCTAGCTTCATGGGTGAATTCTGCCAAACATTTAAGGAAGAATTAATGCCAATCCTTTGCAGACTCCCACAAAAAATTAAACAGGATGATACTCCCATACTCGTTTTATGAGCCCCTACCAAAGCCAGAGTATGAGCCTTCATATGAAAGTCAGACAAAGATATGCCCAAAAAGAAAATTACAACCTAATATCACTGATGAATATAGATGCAAAAATCCTCAACAAAATATTAGCAAGCTAAACTTGACAATACAGTATTAAGGATCAAACACCACGATCAAGTGGGATTTATCCTTGAGATGCAAAGGTATTTCAATGTATGCATTCAATAAATGTGAAATACCACATTAACAAAATGAAGAATCTATATTGTAGTATCATTTCAATCAACATAGTCAAAACATTTAATAAAATTCATCATCTTTTCATGATAAAATCTCTCAATAAGTTGATATAGAAGAACTCTACCTCAACATAAAAACACCGTATATGGCAAACTCACAGCTAAACATATTCAGAGGAACAAATTGAGGAACAAGACAGGCATGCCCACTCTTCCCTCTTTCATTTAAAATAGCACTGGTAGTCCTGGTCAGGGCAATTAGGCAAGAAAAAGAAATAAGGAACCCAAATCAGAAAAGAGGAAGTAAAATTGTTTCTATTTGCAGATGACATGATGTTATATATAGAACCCTAACGACTACACCAAAACACTATTCTTATAGTGTTATATATATTACAGTTAGAACTAATAAATTCAGTCAAGTTGCAGGATATAAAATCAATATACAAAAATCAGTTGCATTTCTATATACTAACAATGAACTATTGGAAAGAAAAATTAAGAAAATAATCCCATTCACAATAGTATCAAAATACCTAGGAATAAATTTAACCAAGGAGATTAAGTATCTGTACACTAAAAACTATAAAACATTGATAAAAGAAATTGAAGACACAGAAAAATGGATAAACATTCCCTACTCATGGATTATAAGAATTTGTATTGTTAAAACATCCATAGAATCCAAAGTGATCTACAGATTCAGTGTGATCACTATCAAAGTTCCAATATTTTTCAAGGAACTAGGAAAAAAATCCTAAAATTCATATGGAACCACAAAAGGCCCCATATATCCAAGCAATCTAGGGTAAGAGGAACAAAGCAGAGGCACCACACTTACTGATTTCAAGCTACGTTACAAAGCTACAGTAATCCAAAACTAGGATATTGGCATAAAAACAGACATAGATAAAACAACAACAACACAGGCATAGATCAATGAACAGAATAGAGTCCAGAAATAAACCCATCCATACGTGGTCAATTAATTTTTGACAAAGGTGCAGAAAAACACTGTAGGAAGAGAATAGTCTCTTTAGTAAATGGTGTTGGCCAAACTCAGTATCTCTATGCAAATGAATGAACTTGGACTGGTAGCTTACCCCATATGCAAAAATCAACTCAAAATGGGTCTCGGCTGGGATGTAGGGTGGGCTGGTGGTGGTGGCTGGGGTGGTTTTGTCTGCCTGCCCAAAGGAGGTGGCCATGTCGGAGCGCTGGGGGACCAAGCTGTAGTGGGACGAAGCCCGGAATCCCGGAAACTGCCCGCAGAGGCCGAGGGGCGCCTAACGTGCCCCCCGGGGGCGGTTGGCTGGATGGGATAGGAGAGTAAGCATGAGCAAGGGCGAAAATAGGTAGGGACGGGCCGTGCCATCAGCTGCAGCTTCAGGAGCAGCGCAGGTCTGGTTTGGAGATCAAGCTCTGGTCGGCCCCTTAACGGAAAGAAGAATAACTGTGAGGTGATGACATGATGACATGTTAATGAACTTGATCATGGGAATTCTTTCACAACATAGAGGTATGTCAAATCAACAAGTTGTACACTTAAATATATTATGATTTTGTCAAATGTATTTCAATAAAGGTGGGAGAAAATAATGAAGCCGATGTTCTGTGGGTGTTTGAAACTCCTATATGCCTTCACAGGACTCAGCCCGCCCACAGAGGTGACAGGTAACTGACCGTGTCTAAAGGTGTCCCCAATGAATTATACTCCTTGGAATGCACCTGTGGCTTGTGCTAACCAGCAGGATACCTCAGAGTGAGGCTGTGCCAATTCTGGGCCTAGCATTTGAAAGGACTGGCAGTTTCTGCTTCCTAAATTGTTAACACTTGCTTTGAAGAGCTTGAATCACTTTACAGGAAGTCCAGCTCCCCTGTTGGAAACATCCAAAGGATAGACCACTTGGAAGCCATGTAAAGAGGAAAAGAACTGAAACCACACGGAGAGTGACAGAGAACCAGCTGTTTCAATATCTCCTGGAGCCTTCTGGTGACTCTGGCTACAGGAGCATCTGACTATAACCTCACTGGAAAACCCAAATGAAGTCAGCCTTAAAACCACCCAGCCGAGGCCAGTCAACACCCAGAATCATGACAAAGAGAATTAACTTACTGCTTTAAGCATTAAGATCTGGGGTGGTTTGTTCCACAGAAAGATAACCTCACCAGTGACTGTTCCACGTGACTTCCAGGAGGCCAGAAAGCTCCCCAGTCTCTCAACGTCGATGGCGTCATTGGATGCCAAGTTGCCAGGGAAGGGAGTGCAGAAAGGGGAAGTCATTAAGGAAGGGAGAGCAGGAGGTTGGGGTCACCTTCAGGGGACTGAAGGGAGCCTCAGAGGCTTGCCAGTCCCAGCAGGAACAGTTGCCTTTGGGCCAATGGTTCCAAGGCCGTTTTGCAGGTTTTGCTTTCCCTTAGGTGAACCCTTGTTTTGAAAAGGTAAACCATTGAAGTGCCAGCTAGAATGAAGACAAGGTTACACACTCATTTCTCCCACGGTTATTTTGGTTGTGTTCCGTGTCTAAAGACCCCCCACTCTGAGCATCAGTAGGTAAATCAGTTCCAAGGGAGACCAGGCCAGACTCACAAGTTGGGACAACTGCATCTTTACTCAGAGGGGGTCAGAAAAATCATTGTTTGGGTAAGATAGGGTACTTTAAGCACTCATTCCTACATATGGTATGATTTTTTTTTCTTTCCATGTTAAGAAAAATGAACCATTTAAAACCTTGTTTCCTTTACTCTTAAATCATAGGGATTTTTGTTTTGTTTGTTTTGTTTTTTAAACGTAGGAGTGAAAACTATCCAGGTCTATAAATGTTTTTTTTTTTTAAAGTAGTATCTTTTTTATTAGTGTGTGTAGGTTGTAAAAGAACTATAATGAAGCATTGCTAACTACATAAATATTACTTTACATAGCATTTTTAATCATTGTGAAAGAAGCCATTTGCTTGTTGGTTCTCGATATTTTTCCCATCTATATTCAGATCAATTAAGAATTAATATCTATTATCTCACTGAATTGTAGCAAGGAGTTTACATTATGAAAGTTTCATATATAAAATTTTATTCTCTAATAGAAAAAAGGGAAAATACTGAAAACTATTAATGTTTAAAATAGCTATAAAATACATTGCCTGCTCTAAATGGGTTGATAGCTTTACGAGTCCTTCCTATGTCTTTGAATATTCAATTCTAGTAAATATCACAGCCAAAGAGTTCCAAGCGAAGTGCAATACTTTGATTCCATGTTTTAGGAATGATGCGGATAAACCTGGAGATAATTGGTGGGTTGAAAAAGTTCTTCACATGTCCTTTGATATTATTATTTCCTTCGAAAATCTGAAAACAAAATATGAGAAGGTCTTTAAAAATGATATCATGGTTATAAAAATCTTACAGATCATTTTCTTTTCTTCTGCAATTTTTGTCCAAGCTGAGGGCATCAAGGAACACATACAACATCACTGGAGATGGTCTTTGGCCGATTATGAAATCCCATGCCTAACAGACCTCTTTAGGGATTCCACCTCCCAGTGATCTGGGTCAGAAAAACAGAGAGATCTGACCTCTGATGTGGTGCTGTAAGTGTCTGGGAAACCATCTCTGCCCTTAGCTCCTCGGTAGCTGTGTGACTTTGGGCCAGTGTCTTATATTCTCCGACTCTCCATGTCCTCACTGGTAAATAATAAAAGTTTACCCCACAGGAGTCATTATGAAGAGCTTTTTAAGTATATAAATATGTGACAAGTGCACAGTGAGTGACAGATAATGGTTAGTTGTCACTGACATTGAAAATAAAATGCAAGCATGGGCTTTTACTTATTCTTTTTGACAAATGTCTTCTATCCTCAACTGAACAGTGTTTTATGACTTTTTTTTCTTTTTGCGTCCCGGCAAGTTCCCCGAGATCTACCCAGAGCAGCAGCTGGGCCACTCTTCATTCATGGCACTGATGCTTACTGGGCTGTAAAGACATCCAGGTGAGACATGTAAAACCAGCCAAACCAAACAACCCACCAGACAAACAGCCCAGGAGTTTAAAGAGAGAGGTTCAAATGCATTCACCGAGGTAAGTGCTGAGTCCATGATGAGCATTTGGTAAAGGTCACCTCTTCTCCTGTGTTGTCCCTCCTATTGGCTCCAGCCTGGTTTCCCTTCCTGGAATATTAGGCTCATCTCCCTGATTTTTCCCTAGTAGCATTTTGAAAACACATGACTGGGGAACAAGGAGCATAATGGAGTAGTTCATCTTGCAGGAAATTGGGTTCCTCATTGGTTATCTCATTGTCTCCTGCTTAATAATATGACACAGAAAGCTTTATGGCCGTGGGTATTTACTCAGTCAAGAACAACAAGCGGACCCAAGATAAGCTAATATGATGCTATTTCACAGTGGACATTCCCCCAGACCCCCGTTATAGACTACGTGTTTGTGTCGCCCTCAAATTCTCACTATTTCAAGGGGCTCCGTCTCCACAGAAAGATAGCCTGTGTGGTGTCTGTCCCCAGAGCAGCTCCCTGTGGAACTGGGGTTCAGACTTCTTAGAGGGGAGGTGCATGTCTGTGCATATTTGTCAGAAGCAAGGAGCTGCTTGCAAAGGTAAGGATGTCTCTCGCCAGAGTGGGGATGTGAGTTGCTTTGCTGTTGCTTTGTTACCTTGGCCACCATGGAGGATCCCTGCCTGTAAGGCTTCCATTCCATGCCCTGGTCACTGTACTGGATGCTGTAGCTCTTCACGTACATCTCGGAGGACAGAGACTTGCAGCCCTGTGTTACAATCGCAGTTATCTTCTTGATTTTGAGCAGATCAATTTGTAACCACTGTTGGTTGTTGTTTGCCTGTGAAGATGGTGAGGACACATGAGCAAGGCCGACTTTAAAACCTCCCACTTTTTAGACCAAGATACTCAGAAATGTGCAGAGCTCAAAAGCCTTTCCTATATCATCCCTTAAGATTCTCTGTCCCTTAGAGGACTTCCCTGTTCCTTCTTGTTTGCTGTCACAGACATATATAAACTTTTAGTGGCGTATTTCATATATCATACGATAATGGTTTACTTGTTTGTATCTCTTCGAAGGCCGGGATTTATTGTATTTTGTTTCCAGATACTTAGCACATTGCATGACACAGAGTTGGTGTTCAAGGAATATTTGCTGAATGAATAAATAAATGAATATTACTTGAGAAAAAAATATTAGATTGCTAAATTATCTGTAATATTATTCTCTTAATCAAATTTGTTTAAATGCCGTGATGATATTGCGGATGGGTTATCTGGGAAAGGACTGGAGAGTATCCTCTCTCTATTTAACTTCATTTAAAAAAAGTCACACTTTTCTTTCCCTTGCTTCTGTCAACTAAAGGAGGAGTCGTCCAGTTTCTTGTCCTCTGATATTTCAAACAAATGTAATACCTGAGAGACCTAATAAAGCCGTGACTAGGATCTGATATGGTACAGGAGCTGTTCTGTCTCTGCCTAATGAAATGCTTAATCATATGTTTGCTGACACATATTGGAGAAAGAGGGTCAGAAGGACTAACTGAGTTTTGGAGTAATCTGAGACCGATTTTCACCCTTGGGAGATTAATCATGCCCCATAGTCTCAGTCAGTCCTACATGAAATAACGAATATTGATCTATTTCTTTAACATCACTTATGTGTACATGTATGTATGTATATATATTGATACACAGATATATGTGTAATTCATATACTACATGTATTTTTAAAGATTAATTGAATGAAAATTATTACATTAATTAATTTTTGTTAATTTTGTAGCACTCTCTAGTGACGTTTGGTGGTTCAGGCTGTCTGTATCCAATCCAGGTTGTACTGGTGACACAGAGGTAGGGATCTAGAGAGATCTGGAGGCATAATGATCTTTCATAGGCATAAAACAGGTGGGCGTGCCTCCATTTACATGTGTGCCTGCCTAGGTCTGGCTGAGATTTTTAGCCTCTCTAAAGAGACCTCATAAAGACATTGGATTCTAATAGAAGATTAAGTGAAACAGTTCTGATTTAGAATTCCAGATTTAAAATGGTGACCTTAAAAATTAGAATTAGTATTTCATCTTTGAATCCATTATTATATCACAAAGACTGAGAGCAAATTATATACAGAGCAAAATTTCTCAAAAAGCTGTAATACAGGGTAGGGTGACAAAGTTACCTGGGAAAAAATTTCTCCTTAACTTTTTCTTTTATTATTTAACATTTTATTTATATAATTATAGAAATGTAATATAGTATCACATTATTACTTTTATTATTTTAACTTCTTTAGGTCTCTGTTTCTCCCTCTACAAAATTGCAAAATGAGGTATGTGGGTGGTTTCCAATGGTGGGAGGACCACTGATCTGTTTATCGCAAGAATGGGCTTCCTGATTCTGCCACCAAACGAAGCTAAAATGCTTTAATCTCCTTCATGTTTAAACTTAAGAGGAAAAGTCTGGACCAGATGCTTAGCAAACCCCTTGCTGTTCTTACATTCTGTGAGACTGTGACGGACCAGAAATGAGTTTCGAGACACAGATATCAGTTCCCAAGACTATCTGTAGGGGGTCCAAGTTCTTCCATTTTCTCCATTCCTACCACAACTCCCCTTCTGTCGCTGGCAGCCTAACCTACAGATAGGACCTGGGATTCTACAGAGTCCAGGGAACTGGAACATAGGTGTCTTAAGGGAGGGACAGAGGCGTATAGAAAAGAGGGAAGGGTTAAGTTGACTGGTAGAATCATTCTGAGCTCTGATGCCATTGTGATTTTTTAAGTCAGTTGAAGAGGGAAATAAAAATGTGTCAACTATGAACTGTTACCCTAAAACTAAGTCACTGGAATTATCCAATGTGTTATTATTAGGACAACAGAACTCTCTGGAGGATGCTTATTAAACTTAGGCCACTGATCTATAACCCTGGTTTTGCTGCATTTTGCCGTGCCTCCAACTGTCTAAAGGAATGTCACAAAGTTCTCAAAAAATGGGAACAAAAAAAATTTAAATAGCACTATTATGAAAATGAAAAGTATTGGGGCGCCTGGGTGGCTCAGTCAGTTAAGCGGCTGCCTTCAGCTTGGGTCATAATCTCAGGATCCTGGGATGGAGCCCCGCGTCGGGCTCCCTGCTCAGTGGGGAGTCTGCTTCTCCCTCTCCCTCTGCCTGCTGCTCTGCCTACTTGTACTCTCTATCTGTCAAATAAATAAGTAAAATCTTTTTTAAAAATTAGAAATAAAAGAAAATGAAACGTATTGCTAAATTGTGAAAAAAGAAAGTATCGCAAATCTAAATCATTTATCACTAATATGAGTTGTCTCAGTTAGGAGCTGGCCAACTCTAGCCCAAGGGCCATATTCGGTCCCTGGGCTGTTTTTGTAAATCCAGTTTTATTGGAACACAGTCATGCTCATTTATGTACTGTTTATAGCTGTTTTCCTGCTACAAGGGCAGAGCTGAGTAGTTATGACTGAGAATGTATGGCTCACAAAATCTAAAATATTTATGATCTGGTCCTTTGCGGAAGAAATTTGCCCACACTTGATAAAAATCAAAACTAGACCAAGAACCACAGAGATGATAAATAACCTCTCTGAGCCAAAATCAGAGCTAAGCTATCAAACCAGCAGACATCCTAGATTCTCGGACCTAGGATCACAACCGGCAGAAACGCGAGATTATATTCTGACTTCCCAGGACCCCGTGTTTCCCATAGTGAGGGCCTGTGTTTCCTTCTGGAAGGTTGAGGGAGCTCCATTCACAGGCGTTCTCTACCTTGGCTTGCCAGGCGTTCACACGACCCTGGGCATTGAGACGGGCACGGAAGGGTTCCCAGTAATCTCCCCACCAAGATTTTTTGAATGAGGAAGCTGTGATTTGCTTGTTTTCTATCTTTCCACTTTCCATACCCAGTGGTGCGGAGCATCCTGTCAAGAGAGAAGTAATGAGATTAATCGTGCGCCACCACTATGCCCTGCATGGCGTTTCTCACTTGCAGAGGAGACAAGAAAAAATATCACTACCAAGTCACAACAGAAACAACCATTGCCACCAATGATGTTATTGCCCAAAGGCCAAATACTGCTTTTAAGCTCTATGTGTATTACTAGTAAGAAAAGCAAAGAACAGCAAGAAAAAGTAACCAACACTACCAGAAGAATCAGAAACTAAATTGGAGACCAAGAAGTCAGACACATGTTCTGAATATTTAAACCCATTTTCCTCCTTTGGAGAGTCATGGAAACTTCTGTCTTTTCTCTGAGGTAGAAAATACTCCTTCACTATCTATGTACATAAGAATATATCCTATTTCTCTTTCTAAAGAAAAAGCTACAAAGAAAAAGGGTGAACCCTTGGTAGTCATGCTCAATAGATGGTTTTCAACCCGTGGAGGGTGACTCATGTGATGTACCACTGAGAAATCTGCTGAGGCACGCACTTGCATGTCAGTCCTCAAAGCTGGTCGGGGACCGTGAGAAACACAGCTCGCGAGTGAGCCCAGCCGACGGCCCGTCACCACCATCAGCTACATGATGCTTAGTTCTTGTTGGTAAATCATGCTGGCATTTTCTTGAAGTGATATCTCTCTCAATGAAAAAAAAAAAAACAACTTAAAAAAAAGAAAACCTACAGCTAACTCTGATTATATCAAGAAAATGAAGAGTTTTTTTTTTTTTTTTAAGTCATGCCTCTTGAATAGAAAATAGATGTTTTGAATAGGTCAATGGAGTTGAATGTCACATTTTAGTTTGACTCTCTGATCTGAACAAACTACCATTTACAACATATACTATATAGAAAGAAACAAACAGTAACTCTATTACACCTTTGTTCTATTTAGTGGAATTTCATTATGGCCATTTATGATTACTTGGACTTACTTATACCATCGGTCACATTACATCCCCTGAAAAACAGCAGCTTACATAGAAAAAACTTGAGTACCTACAGAGAGCGCCAAACAGAATACAGAGTTCAGTCAAGGTTTCTGGAAGTTGGGGGTGTCAGGTGGTTCAGTCGCTTAAGCACCTAACTCTTGATTTTAGCTCAGGATCGTGAGATCAAACCCTGCCTCGGGCTCCCTGCTGAACAGGGAGGCTGCTTGAGATTTTCTCTCTGCCTCTCCTTCTGCCCCTCCCCATCAGCTTGCTCTCTCTCTCTCTCTAATGAATAAATAAATCTTAAAAAAAAAAGTTTCAGGAATTGGTAAGTAGTTTAGATCTCAAAAACATTCACTGAACATCTAATACAGACCAGTAATGTTGCTCAGTACTTTCATTAAAGTCTGAGTGTGACCTGTAGGACTTTGGAAGAGTCAGAGCTAGTCTGAATCTTTGTTCTTATTGAAATAGGCCAATGGGAGTTATTCTAAGCGATGGCCTTTCCTTGGAGGGTCACGGCAGTGTCCGTGCCATCCTGGCACTGTTTGGAGATGGTGCCCACCCGCTGGCTGGTAGAACCAGTTTTGCTCTAGGTCACAACATAAATGAGAGTCTGCCTGGGCAGAACCTGTTTTACCAAGGTTTTTTGAGGCACCTCAGTGACTGCATAGTACTAATAATTCTATCCATTCCTCTGTATCTACTAAAGCTTGATTCTCTGAGAGGCAGCAAGACAGTAATGCACCTTAGCGTCTTACCGTTAACCTCACAGCCTTGCAGCTCCAACCGAAGGGCCGGTCTGTTATAGTATCTCGTTGGAGAGATCCTAATATATCTAGCCACAATAGGTGGGTCAAACCGATTCTCTTTTATCGTAGAGGCATCCGAATTGCCATCAAAATACTAGAGGAAAAGAGGAAAGCTTAGTTATGGAACAATTCTCTATGAAGTGGTTTTATAATAAAGTTTCAGTTTAACTTAATATTGTCATATTAAGTTTTCAGGTGGCCTGAATTAAATCACTTGGTCTTAAGAAACTGGAGATACTTTCACTTCTGGAAGGTGGTGTAAATGTGCCTCATCTTGTTCCTTCTGCTAAGTACAACTAAAACACAAGAAGCCACTGGAAGATGAAGAGAAGAAGGCAGACCAGCTAGGGTTCTCGGGACCCAAAGAACAACATGGTAGTTGGTGGGCTCCCTGGGTTTCATTTTTGTCTCATATATCCCAGACTGCGAAGTGAAGAAGCCGGCAACCAGGAAACGCCAACGGACACAAACAAAAAAAGCTCTGGTGAAAGATTCTTTTCTCTAGCCACGGGACCAGGCAAGGGCAGTCCAGCAAGCCGGAGAACGTTCAGACAATAATTGCTCAACTTCTAGATAAACATCAGAGAAAACACCATGGCCCCTCCTCCACCCAGAGCAGCAAAGACCCAGTGGGGAGCCTAGACCTCCATGCTCGTAAGACTGTAATGAGTCACCCCAGCACCCTTACCAGGACTGTATTAGAGAAGATCAAATAGGAACTCAGGACTTTCATCCCCACCAGTTCCTAATAAGGCTCCCACTGCTGTATATCATGGAGTGTCTCCATTCCCACCCACCAGCAAAGAAGAGTGGTCCTCCTTTGGGGGGACCCTGGACTTCAAAGCCCCCCTGGCAGGCGTGAGGTGTGCCCCAGCCCCTTTCCTTGCCAGAGCAGTCAGAAGGCGCAGCTAAAACAGAGGGTAAGAACAGCAAGACTAAAACCCAGAACAATAACAGACAGAAGCCAATGAAACAGAGCCAGTCCTTTGAAAAGATCAAAAAAAGAGGCAAATATCTAGCAAGAATGACAAAGCAAAAAGAGAGGCACAGTCACCAATATCAGTATGGCTGTAGACCCTGCAGACATCAAAAGCGTAGGCGAAGATCACCACCAACTCTATGCACATAAATTCAACAGCTTAGAGGAAATGGATGATTAGGAAAACACAATCTCAACTTATCCAATAGGAAATAGATAATGTGCAGAGCCAGTAACTAATAAAGAAAGTGTATTCATAATTTAAAAGATTCCTGGAAAAGAAATCTCTAGGCCCACATTGTTTCTCTGGCGCATTCTACAAATATTCAAGAATTAACACCAATTCCAGAAATCTCTCCCTGAAAACAAAAGACATGCTTCCCAAATTATTTTATGAAGCCAGTATTACTCTGATATCAAAACCAGAGAAATATATTATAAAAAATAGAACTGCACACCAATATTCCTCATGAAATAAGGGCAAAAGTCTTGAAGTTATGAACTCTGTAACTGTAATCTGTACCCTCTCTCCAAGACGATTAGTAAGGGCTGTAATTAGAGATTTTCATGATCTGTTCAAAGGGATACTGTAAATAACTTATTACTAGAGATACCTACTGATAATACAGACACTACTCAAATAGTAAATGATTTGCAGGAAAAATGAAACAGATTCAACGTTCTCAGTGTAAAATGGCAGACTGAGTCCTTCCATTCCGAGCTCTCTTTGGAAGGGGATTAGGGTGGAAGGGGAGTTGGGGCTGGTACACAGGGGTTTGGAGGAATGATCCTGGCTGAGCTTCCGAAAGAGGGGCAGGCCTGTCGCTCCTTGGGCAGGGAGCAGAAGGGAAAGCGCGCTGCCCAGAGCAGAACTGGCGTGGTCATTGCTATCTGCTTCCTTTAAGGTACACTGAAACAAAGAACAAAATACGATGGAAAAGTCAGTAGAAACAGAACTTGAAAGCCCGTTTTTAGCGTGAGCTCCTAAAGGACCAAGACCAGATATGCCACTCTGCCGTCCGCTGTGCGCCGTCTGAGAGGTCCGGGTATCTAGTTTGATCCAGAAGGGAGTTTTTGGTGGAGTTTTGAAGTGTCCTAAGTCAGGCTCATCCTTTACTCTGTAGTAACAGACCCACCGTTACACCACTTTCTTTCCTAAGGCCCTACGAAAACCATTTGCATTTCTACCTCCCAGAAAGGTATTTTTTAAAAAGACACGATGACAGGCACAGTCACAGTAGCCCAGGGAGCCTAGGGTGAGTCTAGGGAGTGGGAAAGAAACGAGGCGCACAGACCATCACGTTCCTGGCGCTGTTCCCCTTGAAGATCTGCCAGTTCGTGCGGTCGGAGCTGTACGCCACAGAGAACTGCGTGGTGTAGTAGGACTTCAGATACTGCTTGGCCCCTTGAGTCTGAATCCCCGTGAGTACGACTTCCCTCTGCATGTCCACCTGCCACACAGCAAAGCCATTACAGACTGTCCTTGTCAACATGTCACGTGCTGCTTCCACGATTCACTGTGCAGCCGGCTTTCTTCGGGACTAACCACCCCAGGTCTTAGCACTAACAAAATGGCTAGAAACAACCCACATGTGAGCATGGAGGACCTGGGCTTGAATCCAAGTTCAACCACTCACTAGACATTCGGCACTTAATTAGGCCCGTTCTGCCTTAGCTTTTTCATCTGTGAAAAGGATCTCTAGGCTGTGACTAGCACTAACCTCATAGGGTTCGTTTTGAGTATGTAAAGTACTTAGGGTTGTGCCTAGAATGTTGCAAGAATGAGGAGAAATTATTAAATCACTGTCATTTTGTTAGTATGGTGCTGTAAATATTAGTAAGGTTAATAAGATATACCTGGATCCAAGGCTTAGAGTCAAGTTCTGTTGAAGGTTTCTCTGTGATCCAAGCATTATATGACCCACCATTGTTTAATCTTGCTAATTTGGGTTCCCAATAACCTAAATCCAAAAAAGAAAAAAAAATTATTCTGAATTAAAACAGAGACAAACCAAAAGCATATAATTGGCCATTTCCCGAGTAAGTTTAGTCCTAGTGGACAACCAGAGCTCTGCAGGGTCTTCTGCTGAAGTTAGGAGACCAGGCCGTTGACACAAGGCCTCAGCTACGAGGCTCATTCACGATGGTGAAATCTTGGCTTCAGTCTGTGCTTGGTCAGCTGTCAACAACCGCCCACCCCCTCTCCTGCATACAGGTTCTGTTTGTCTTTTCTCAGTTATGTTGATGTGGCTGCTGCCCAGAGTGCTTGCCTAAGGGGAGGACGTGGGAGGGATTATGGGAGCCTCCAACTGACCTCTTGGTAGGAAGGGGTTTGAGGCAGAGTGAGGAAGTTTAGAAGGAGACCCTGACACCCAGTGGGTAGTCAGCAAAGTCCTTGAATAGACGAATGGTTGGCACAACAAAGAACCCTATTAGTGGGGAAAGTAGTATGTGGCCAATGAGACCTTGTGAATCTGGCTGGAATATTATGTTTGTGATCAAACCTGGAAAGGGGATGAATGGGGAGGGTTTTGAAAATGGGAACATGGTCGTGGGAGTGAGGGATCCCCTCCTTGCTCAATCCCTGCTGAGAGGCTGGACTGCCTGGGTGGAGATTCTGAGGAGCCCTGGTTTTTGGTCTTCCCTGAGACAGTCTCTACGGGGACCTTATACATCAGAGAGGATGTTAGCACCTATTATACACTCCTTCCTCTTCCAGATGAGCACCTCATGAGCAAAGCCCAAGGAGGAGCAATGACACGTAGATTCGACAGGTAGGGGTTGTCATGGGTTGTTTTTCAGGCTGTACACTGCACAATTGTAGGAGATGGCTTCCAAAGACGATGATGCTACCACTTACCCAAATGCTCAGAAGCCTTGATCTGTGAATCAGCTATGATACCAGTGCTTAGTCCCATTGGCATCTTACATTCTAAAAACAGACAAAACACACACACACACACACACACACACACACACACACACACAGAACAATGAATAATTTTTGCTTAGAAAATACATGTAACTGTGTAAAATCTCCATGGCAGGAGATCATACCTTTGGTGGGTCAGTCATTTGGTAGTTTCACTTCGCTTTGTGGCACTGCCTTAAACATGTCTGGTTATATTTAGTACTAGTACTAGCAAGACTAGTGATTGGTGCTAGTCTTTAACAGAGTGACACCCTAGAGGAAAACCATGAAGACCCCAAAATTCAACTAGTTTTATACAGATTTCCATCTGCTCGTATCTTAAAATAAGTCATTTTATAACCTTAAGTATTACCCCCTATAAGTCTATGTTCTCAAAAGTTGACCTGAAAGTTACAGAGTTATTTATATCCTGATCACAAAAGAAAATGCCAGCCACTGAGATGTCTGGATGTTGACACAGGGCTTGAGTATTAAGTACTCAGCAAATATTAAATAAATGCTGGCTAGCTGGTTGGCTGGGTGGATGGGCAGATGGAAATGATTTCTCAAATACTGGAATGCCTAGTTCAGAGACTATCCCAGTCATTGCTGAATTCCTGGTATCTTTTCCCTCCTCTGGAAAATTTCTTACATTCATTTCCCATGAATCACACATCATGAAGGAAGCCACTTTATATTCATTCCCCAACTGAGAAGAATGCCTTTGGGCTGAAACATGGGGTTTAAGTTTCCTCGAAGACTGATGCTTGTGGCACCATCAGACGATGGGTCAGAATAAATCAGTTAGCAGTTAGAATAAAAGCATTATTGCCCCTGTCATGCAGAGTCTCAGAGTTCCATATTTCCAATCTAAAAGTTAGGAACATTCCAGCAGGGACCGTCCTGCTAAAAGCATCACGTGGTTCTTGGGTGGTACCTCTGTCTATGATGAGAAACGGTGTTTGCATCCCTGCTCTCTGGTTTTCTCCAACCTCTGTGTCCAGCAGCCACCAGCCAGCTTTTGATGCCTTCATTTCAAGAGTTTTAAATGAACCTAAAACAGAGAGTGAAGGACAATATTACACACCCCTAATGAACAATATTAGTTGACAGCTATCAAAGAATCCTAAAATCCCTGCATCACAAGAGGCTTTAGAAAAGAATTTAAGAATGACCCCTTTCTCTTAGGCAGGACTAGAGGTGTAACAAACAGATAAAAACAAAACAAAACAATGACACACACACATTAGTAAAAACAACTTGCCCCAGGACTTTAAAAAATCTCCAGCATCCCTTACAGGAAAGAAGCTTTCATACAAAGTTATAAGCTAACTCATACATAGCACAGCTTCTGAGCCCTAAGGATGAAAATGACCTTGAATGACTCATGACTGGGCCTCAAGAAAACTATCCATGTTTCCTTTCTCTCCCTTCACTTCATTAGTTTTTCCTTTTTTTATAAGAAAATTAAAATCAAGCATCCTTCTCCCATGTTTTCAAGTTTTCTATTAAGTTTACATAGTTGAACCGAGAGGCGCATGAACTACTTCAGAAAATTGCTGAAAGAAAGACATGTCTGAAACTTCTGATTATCCACTCTGATATTTAATGCTACCCTTTGCTAGTTAATACGTGAATTCTGCTGACTGTAATTCGTGTCTATTTTCCAGATTGTGAGTGAGAATTAATAGCGTATGGTCATCCTCCACTGTCCAATACAGACCATTTAGATATGAAGATTTGGATGGGCCAGCCAATTCCAGCTTCTCAGTGTTTCGGAAAGGAGGACTGATCTGGCAATCTACATCTGGTGAAAAGTCAGGAATGAGTTTCACCTAATCCCCTTTTGTCTCTGATTTTAATAGAGTGGGTCTTTATAGCTTAATGAATGCACCATAGGCCTGAATGAAACAAACAAGAACACCCTTTTCCCTATCCCAAACCAAACCAGTCCTGTTGGGACTGCTGTGCCCTTCTAAGGCTGAGTCACACAGCAACTTCTCCACCCAAAGTACTGGCAAGGGACCGACTGTCCTCATTAGCCTCTCAGAGCATTTGTGGCAGATGGGCTGTTTGTTAAAAATGCAGAGGCTCAGGGCACCTGGGTGGCTCCGTTGCAGGGCGTCTGCCTTCGGCTCAGGTCGTGGTCCAGGGTCTTGGGATCGAGCCCCGCATCGGGCTCCCCGCTCTCCCTGGGAAGCCTGCTTCTCCCTCTCCCACTCCCCCTGCTTGTGTTCCCTCTCTCGCTGTGTCTATCTCTGTCAAATAAATAAATAAAATCTTAAAAAAAGGAGAGTGTCTGGCATCTGCTGAAGATCCCAAGATCTACCAGATCAAAAGCTCCAAAAGCAAATCGCTACCTTGGCGTTCGCATTTTAACCAGCTTCCCAGACTTCCACTGTGCTCGGTACTCTTGCAGAATCAGTCGCCGCGGCACTCATACCCCTACCCACTCCTACGACACACAGGGAGACCTACAACCCACTTGTACCTAAGAATCCTCGGCGATGACTGGTTTGTTGAAGCCTTTTCATTATTAAGGGGGTACTAGCCCGCGTGGTGCTGCAAAGGGCGCACACGTTAGCTGCCTTTTTCGCACTCGGTATGCAGTCTGGGGGTGTGTGTCTGCCCAGGATCTATGCCAGAAACCATGCCCGACCCTCAGGAAGTAATGCCCAGGAGGGAATGAGGGCCAGCGACAGCTCCCCTAGCCGTTTTTCACCAGGGACCTCTTTCCCTCATGCAGGTCTTTACCAGGCAGCAGGGGCCAGACCCCCAGCTGGTGCTGTTGAGTGCCGTTTTCCAGCAAGGTCTGGCCGTGAAAGTGAACCACGTGGATGTCTCGGGAGCTGCCCATGTTCAGCAGGTGTAACCTCACCCACTCTTGCTCGAACATTCTCAGGCCAGGCAAGTTGTAGATCATCCCATTAATGGCTGAAAGGACAGAAAGTTGCAATGGGTTAGAGATCTGTGTACGCCAGCAGAGAGGCTGCCGAAGAGGTCTGAGGCCTCCCACCTCACTACCCATCTTCCTACCGCTCTGCCCAGGCATAGAGTAAGGACCCCTTTGTACCCTGATATCAAGGAAAGGCTAAAATGGGACCCCAGCTCCTCCCTTTGTCGGTCTCCAGCGGCTTCCTACAGAGCTGACCTCTCTCCACCCCGCACCTCACACTTCCCTGCTCTCTGTCTCCTTGACCTTAACAGGGTGGGTTTGCCTGTGCTACAGGAACAGGAAGACGAACATGAGCCAGAGAAGTGAACTCCAGTGGTTGGAGGAAAGAGAGTGAGGGGATACACAGCACGTCACCCCGAGGCCTCCTAAATTCAGACAGAGCTCAGGGCAAATCTGGGAATGTGGATGACCGAGGTCCCTGTTTGTTCTCTCATTCCTATGAGAGCTCCTCTGCTCCCTTTCCAGCATAAACGTCCAAGGCTCTCGGGCTTCATCCGCTCTCTGCTCCATGAAACATATGTAAGTGTGTGTACGTGTGCACAGTGTACACACTGGCTTTTGGTTGGTGGGTGGGTGGGTTGGGTTTGTTCTCAAAGTAGCTCCCGTGTTAGCTTTCAGACCTTCTCTAGCTCCTCCATGTGCCCGCCACCTGCCAGGGGACAGCAGCCCGCAGCTGTTTAAGGACCTGGTGCGGGTTGAGGCTCCTGATTCCTCAGAAGCACGTCCCGTCTAATCTCATGAAGACCTAGAGTAACCCAATGTGATTCCGTTCAGACACTGGATCAAAGTCAGAGGAAAATACCATGAAACTCATGGGAGTTTTTGACTACTGAAGATGCAAGTCTCCAAGGCCTGGGGGACTGGGCCTTCTTTTCATAGTACCAGCTCTTCTTTTCATCAAAGATCATAAAAAGCAAGACGAATTCTCTCATATCCATGGGTGTGTTGCTCTTATCAAGGACTCCTTTTTCACAGATCAGAAGGGGACCTATCAAGCCAGAATGGATATCTTTTTCCTGGAAGACAGTAGGAGGAAAATGCACAGATTTTCTTTCTCAGGATTTCATTTGCTCTTCTGACAATCACTGATTCTGTAGAAAAGGAAACCTCAGGAGCTCTGAGTTTGAAGTTTATAAATGAAGAGCTCAGTAGGCCTGGGTATCTCTGATCATCGGATCCCGTGGCACTCATAGTCCCTTCCTCTGATTCTTCCTTTATCTCAGCATGGCAGTAATGATAATATCAATGACAGTATCAATGCCATTATAATTACTATTTATTGAGCATCTACTATTATAGCAAATATTTTGCTGGGAGTATCTTATTTAATTCAGAAAACACTCCTGTAAATTAAAAATAAGCTCACTTATTAAATGTACATTACCCAGTGCCTATTGTGTGCTATCCACTGTTTCCTCATTTTTAACTTTAGAAACTGAGGTTGAGAGAGGTCAAGTAACTTTCCCAGGCGCCCCCAGTAAGTGACAGGATAGGGACTGAAATTGAAGTCTGTGCTTTCTCTCTAGCAAGCCCACCCGAGATGAAGGCATCTCAACTTTGCAGCTCTTTCATAAAGAAAGAGCAAAACAAAGCTATTACTTGCACAAGGAAATTGCAAACACATGTCTTCATCTACAAAGTAGTCACTCTGCCTGAGCTCAACCATTTCCATACCCCTCCCTCCTCTTCACGGAGCACATGCTTCTCTCTCATGGTCATCTGAAGCCAAGTTGTGACAGACTGTTGACCAGAACCCTTACAAATTCCTCATGGAAAGCAAGACACTTAAGGAGAAATTAGCTTGACCCTTCCATCTGGTGGACTCAGGTTATAAGGTTAGGCGAATGACAAAAACTTTCAACGGATGTACCTACCGGGTTCACTGCTGAGTAGTAAGCCCAGGCCCGGCAGGCAGAGCCGGGACTCTCTGGTCCGGATCGGGTGGTGGCGTGCCATACGTACGTGTAACTGCTGTTTGGGTGAACAGCATTATCGTCCTTGAACCACTCAGGAGAGTCATCTTCGTAAGTCTTTCCCTCTGATGACTTTTCGTAGGAAAGCCCGTGGGCATGAAGAGAATATGGTCTGGATGCTAAATTCTTGAAACGAACCTAGAAAAAAGAATGACCCACAAAGGTACTAAGTCCAACAAAAATCCAAATTAAAAAAAGTCAGTATTATACACCCAAGCAGATGGGCAGTTATTAAATTAGACCTATGTGTATATATAGTGAGATATGTTAGCTGCCTACAAGTACAAAGTAACCCATATATTACTTCATCTAATCTTTACAACATCCCGTGAGATAGAGCCCAAGCAGTCTACCCTAGGAACACCAAAATATGTTTGTTCTTAGGCTGTAAAGCAAAAGTGTTCGGCACACGTGAAGTGACCACAGCAGATGCTGCAGATCTGAAGATGAATGAGCTCTGGGTCTTGCTCACAGTAAGTCTCCGACCTTGGTGAAGAGGCAGCTGCACGTAGGGATTGACGTGAAAGACCTGGGACCAAAAGGCCATAACCAAAGTATGAAGGGGGTTAGACGGAATGTCTGAAAGCATGGCAATTCGGCTGAGCGTGCAGGAGAAAGTTTCTTGGGGAAAACAGAATTGGCCCTTATGGAAGAAAACAGGAGCTCCACAGAGGAAGAGATAATATCATGAAATCATTTTTTTTTTTAGATCATTTCTTTTAAGATTATCAAATCACTTGGCAAACAGTCTCTGAAAAGAAGTGTAATTATTTGTTAACTTTGGAAAATAAATTACCTATAGCCCTCCTGCCCCTTCCACTGTTACAAAGCCTCTGGTGCTTGTGGAAATTTCCGTGATGATCTTAGCAACGCTCACGAGATGACTTACTTGGATGACATCATCCACTTCAGCTCTAATAATAGGACCAAGAATGCCGAGATGCTCTTCATACTCCCCCAAAGGATCACGTTTGGTAAAAGTGCTATCAAGGTACTTCCGAAAGACTACTTTCTTGTATATGGTGTTCTCTGGATCATCATCAACGTCTTCACTGAAATAATAATAAGAATAGTATTTGTTTAAAGGAACAAATGAAAGACCATTCAAAGAATTGGGGGAATTATCCCTGTTTCTGAGTATAGTATCTGCATGGATATTTAATTAGTACTCGAGGAACAAATGAATGAAAATACAAATGAGTAAAAACTTAAGCCAATAAATATCCTCCAGATCCCAGCTCACATATCATTTCTTAGGTAAGTCTTCCTATAAACCTTTATAGGTCAAATCTGTCTATATGATTCCATAAGTTTCTATAGTATTGCTAAGCATATATAGTATATTCCTGTAGTACTCTTATATTTCTCTAGTATATATAGTAAGTTATCTTATTTATTTGTTTCTTTGTTTTTTTTAATATGTTATTTACTTGTGAGATTATCTATTAGAATCTGACTCTAATACTAGAGTGAAAACACCATGAGGTCAGGGATCATGCCTAATTTGCTCATTCTTTTATTTCTAGTATCTAGCAAGTTATCCAGCACATAGTGGGGACTTGTTAGATTTGTATGTAATACATCAGTGAATGAACAAATATAACCACATACTCATCTAGCAGATTTTAGTATCAGAAGCAGCCAGGGCTTGGGGCTGTCAGGTGTCAACGGTCACTCCTGTGAAAGCCACTAGGTGGCTGGGAGATTTATAGTCTGAAAGTAGCCATTTTTCTCTCATTTCCCTTTTAAAAATCAGGTTATTCCTTGTGTAGTTCACTCGCCCAGTCTCAGCCAGAGCACACCGTATTCTCTCACTGACTCCTCCATGCCCCAGGCCTGTGGAAACTCGCCAAAACTCCTCCGTCGTGTACCACGTTCGTCACACACTGTGAGCCGCCAACAGAGGATCCCATTCTGTCTTCCTTCCCGCTTCTTACCCTACTGACCCCATCCTTCCAGACCCTAAGCGTAACAGAGTTTCACAGAACACATGGGGACAAGCAAAGCAACTTTGACTGCCATACACATGGCTTGCATGTCTGGAATGGTATATAAGATTTTGAAGGAGCTGGTTCCATCCCTTTGCACTTTGGAAAGGCCCTAAGTCTTACTCCTTCAGAGCCTCTCTTCGAAATCCCTAGATAAACTATTTATTCTCATATAGCAATGGGTGCTACATTTAAATAGAAAGTCATGGGAAAATGCGTTTTATTCTTATTGGGGGGGTAGGAAGAGCAGAGGGAGAAGGAGAGAGAGAATCTTAAGCAGGCTCCACATCCAACATGGAGCCCAATGTGGGGCTCAATCTCACAACCCTGAGATCATGACCTGAGCTGAAATCAAGAGTTGGAAGCTTAATCAACTGAGCCACCCAGGTGCCCCAAAAATGTGTTTTAAACTAACTGAGTTCTAATATGGAAATGCCAGCACCAGATTAATGAAATAATTTCTGTAAGCCATACCATGCACTGTGCTTGCTTACTCTGATTACCCTTTGGCTTTTGGCTTTTACTATACCCATTAGCTTTTGGAAAAGCTATATTGTACTATATTTAGACAGTTCAAGCATGGTCACCATGCTGTGTCCCTGAGAATCTGCAGCTAAGCCTTGCCCCTTGTCCCTCCCTCTCTTCTTTCTCTATATCGTCATCCCAGAATACAGAGTCCACCTCATTATGGCATTTATCCTTAAGCTGAACTGAATTGAAAACTCTTAGAAACGTCTATGGATCCCTTAGAAACTCTCTGTTGTATTTAGGCCACTCGCAAAACTGCATGAACTCCTTCAACTCCGTGGTTGAAGAGTGACTAGAATCCTGAAAGGTTAAATCTGAAGAGGATGTTGGGGGCCATCCAGTGTAACATCTTCATTTAAAAAATGAAAGTAACGGAGTCCAGGAAAGGAGCTCATATATTCTAGGAAACCAGGAATGGCTTAAAACTTCTAAAGTTTTAAATTTCATTTCAAGTTCAAATTTTCAATTTCAAGTTTTAGTTTTGCTCTTTGGATAAACACCAAAATTCTTCCCATGGCCTATAAAACCTAGTGGCATCTGGCCTTTGCAGAGCTAGCCAAACGCTTTCTTACCACTCACCCTCTTCTTGAGCTCCAGCTACAGGTTTCAGGGCTTCCTGCTTCCACAGGTCCTCATCATGCCCTTCTTTCTGTCTAGAATGTTCTCCTCTTTCTACTTCCTGCCTAGTTTACTTCTACTCATCTTCCAATCTCAGCTCAAAAACCACTTCCTCGGGGTCAGATTCCTCAAGTCTCATATCAGCATGTATCTTCCTTTCCTTCTTGGTCCTTAGCTGGTTATATTTTACACTTATTTATGGGAGCATTTAATTCATATCCACCTGCCCAACTAGACACAAGTTCTATGAGGGCAGGAGTCATGTACGTTTATATTCTCTTTTAGAGTCTCAGCACTTACCACAACGCTTAGGAGAGAATAAGCACTCATTAAAGAGTTATTAGAGGAGTGATTCTATGAGCCAAATTAAAGCCCAAGTTTAAATTAAGGTACATCATCACTGAATGACTGCCTCAGTTGAAGATATAAACTTAATTTTTGTTTCTAAACTGGCTTGTATCCTCGGCCTCTGCTACTGGAATCTCACGTAATTTGAATCAAATGTCACCAAGATGCTGTATACTTTACATTGATCAGTAAACAACTTTAACGTATTTTTTGGTAACCAAATGCAAAAGGAGATTTCTATATCACAAATTTGGATGTGAAGCCAACTTCAGTGAAATCATGTTGATTAGCAGATAGCTATGGATAGGTTGGGCTCTGCACTCAGGCAAGGAAACATGGTAGGAACACGTGTGGTGAGAGGAGGGGCTTCCTTAACTATCGATTATCATAGACTTCTTATAGTGATTGTTCTTGCATTGTCCAAATGTCACCAAATGTAGAGAGCTAACCTTGGAATTGACAAAGGAAATTGTATAGGACAAGTTGTAATAGGGGACCTAAATTATACTTAGTATAATTTGCCCAGAATTTTTTCCTTGGACTGTAGCAATCTTTTTAGCAGTAGTGGAAACATGAGAATATACAAGGAGAAAATTTGGCCAAACCTTTGAGCAAATTTTGAATAATCCCAGGATATTTCTTCAGCAGCAATGTAATAATATTTTCTGTTTCCACTGTTGCTGCGAAGGTACCACGCTGCAATGCTGTCAGGATTTCTGGAGGAGTTAATGTCTGTCCTAGTATCAGTTTGGTAAGGGTCATCATAGGCCACAAAATCAATTTCAGCAGTGTATTCTTCACTGCTCTCTTCCTTCTGCCTTGGAATAATCTCAATATAATCTCCATCATTTGCACTGAGGCCTATTACGACAGGTGGGTTAATCTCTCTTGGCATAAAAGTGTTATTTAGGGTAGGAGATGGCACCTGACCAATGTCTGGATGAGGGGAAGTCTGACCAAATTCTGGAAGAAGCAATGACTGAGTAGATTCAGAGGTGTACGATGTCTGATCAAGGTCTGGAGGGAGTGATGTATCTAGATCAGGAGGAAGGGCTGTTTGACTAATGTTTGGAGAGAGAGTTGCCTGGTTGAGGTCTGGGTAAAGTGGCATCTGATCGAGGTCTGGAAAAAGGGTTGTCTGGCTGATGTCTGATGAGAGAGTCTCCTGGTCAAGGTCTGGAGAAAAGGGTGTCTGGCTGAGGTCTGGGGAAAGTGTTGTCTGGCTGAGGTCTGAAGAAAAGCTGGTCTGGTCAAGGTCTGGGTAAAGTGTTGTCTGGCTGAGGTCTGGAGAAAAGGTTGTCTGGTCAGGGTCTGGAGAAAAGGTTGTCTGGTCAAGGTCTGGAGAAAATGTTGCCTGGTCGAGGTCTGGAGAAAAGGTTGCCTGGTTGAGGTCTGGAGAAAATGTTGTCTGGTCAAGGTCTGGAGAAAACGTTGTCTGGATGAGCTCTGGAGAAAAGGTTGTATGGTCGAAGTCTGGGGAAAGGGTTGTCTTGCTGAGGTCTGGGGACAGGTTTGTCTGGCTGAGGTCTGGAGAAAAGGTTGTCTGGCTGAGGTCTGGAGAAAAGGTTGTCTGGCTGAGGTCTGGAGAAAAGGTTGTATGGTCAAAGTCTGGGGAAAGGGTTGTCTTGCTGAGGTCTGGGGACAGGGTTGTCTGGCTGAGGTCTGGAGAAAAGGTTGTATGGTCAAGATCCGGAGAAATGGTTAGTTGACTGAGACCTGCAGAGAGAGTTGCCTGCCAGGCTTCAGATTCCAAAGGAGGGAACATTTGATCAATGTCAGTAGAGAATGGCTTTTTTCTTAGGTCATAGTCGAGCATCTGGCCAGACTCTGGAGGAGATGTGTGGCTAGAGTCTGTAGTGGAGTGTATTTGATCAGACTCTCGAATAGGAAATGTCTGATAGTATTCTTCTGGGGGTATTGTCTGATAAAGATCTGAAGGGGAGCTCGTCTGACTGGCGTCATTTGGGGTATTGTGATTATGGTCAGGAAGTGAGGCTAACAGGCTCAGATTCACAGAGGGGAATGTCTGATTGAGGTCTGTGGGGAAAGATGTTTCATCAGATTTATGGAGTAACAATGAATGATCAAGTCTCCTGTCTGAAAATGTGGTATTGGCCTTTCCTCTTAGAGGGTGGAAACCCCTTGGAGATAGAGGAATATGGTGTGCAAACTTCACTTCTTTTTTCTTTTTTCGTGTTTTAATGAAAAAAGGGATTTTCTTCAATCCACTGTTTCCTCCGTCCTGTTTTACTTGGAGAGATTTATTTCTAATTCCAGAAAATCTGGGGTGGCCACTCTGCTTTCTGTGCTTTTTAATGAGAGGGATGTTTTCTCCCCAAGTCCTTGAGGAATTCCAGGGGCTGTCCAGCAGCTTATCAACAGCCATGTCTTCATCAGCATCTGGAACTATTTCATAACTACCTTTCTCAGACACCACATGCCACTTCCCATTCACAATCTTGGATGGATTCTTTTGTTTTAAGAGTAATGGATCACTGGGAAGGTCTTCCCAGGATCCCATTTTGGAAGGAGAAGAATTGCCTTGGCTTAAGTATCTCCCAGTTTTTTGTGCTGAAAATCCCACTTGGGAGAACCTGTCCTTCGCTGTGTGCTCTCTTCCTTTCTTGGATCCCTTATGCTTAGCATGTTCTTGACCCCTGAATCCTTCTGCATCAAATGGAAGTAGGCTTATCCCTGTGATGTCTGGCTGTAGAGGATCCTCTACAGAGTCTTCAGAATAAGGGCTGGAATGTTCTGCTGTCGAACGGTTGAGAGCTGAGTTCTTGTCTAAGCCAATGTGTCCCAGAGAGGGACCAGCCATGGTGGCTGCTGGGTGAGGAAGAGTTTTCTGAGGTTTTGCAAAGTTATAGACAGTAAACCTGCTAATGTTACTTAGGGAAGAAGAATTTGAACTAAGAGCTGTATCAGGAGGAATGAATTCAGAATTGTTCTCCAGAGCTAGGGCAGTAAGATTAAACTCCTCTTCCTCCTGATTAAGTGATGCATTTCTGAATGACCTAATTCCCAGCCACGAAGCCAGGCTGTTCTGGTAATCATCATCATCAGCAGCCTCTTCACCCCTGTTTTCTGAAGAATCACGCATTTTCCGTGTAGTCATGGCTGTAGATGCGGAAGGTCCGTAGATAATCTCATATGAGTCTTCGTAATCATCCCGGATACATTTAACATCCCTGAATCTCAACCTTAGGTTTTTGTTTCTTGGATTGGAATTTATTGTCGTTAACATCCAAGTTCCTATAGAAGAGAGACAGAGAAAACAGCTCTAAGCCCAGAAAAAGATACAAAAACCCTAGGATTCATTGTGGCAGATAATTTTCAACAAACCTCAGGTGGGGGTTAACAAGTGTGGTCTGTGGGTCACCACTGATCTGAGAACTGTTGATCATCTGTAGTCACATAAGAAGAGAAGTTAGGTGTAAGGTGTTTAGGAAACTGTCCAGCAAATTGACATTGCTATGCGCCCAATGTGATATGTGATCAGTGCCCTTATCTCATATAACAATATAGACTGAAAGTACTGGTCAGTGAGGGAGAAAACTCTTAGCACAGATAGTTTAAAAATCACTGTTTTAGAATATATTTAAAAAGAAAAAAGTTAAAAATAAAGTGGGCTTTAACTATCATAAGCATCTTGTTGGCTGCACATCTCGTTTGAAAATTGGACCGACGGGGAGGATGATGGAAGATGTATTTCTAAGCAATGAATGACTCAGGTGGTTTGAAGGCAATTTTGAATCTCTTTGAAATGGCATTATTTCCTGATGTACAGATTTCCCGGGGAGTCTCCAACAGTTACACTTGTAGAGTGTCTGCTGAGCGCTAGGCATTTAGTACATATGACAATTCACAGTCAAAGCAACCCTGTAAAGTGTGATTGTGTTTTGGAGATGAATACGGGAAGCTCAGTGAGGTCAAGGAACTTGTCCAAGGTTACACAGACACTGAGTCCCCAAGCACATCCGAGGAGCTCCAAACCCCAGCCTCCGAGGTACTGTATCTGATTACTAACTAACCCACAGTGGCGTGGCTAGCCCTAGAAATGGAAAAGGCCATTTTGATCAAAGAATGCTCTTTTGTGGCTGAATGTTCATGCCTCCTCCTCAAAGTCACGCCTTATCTTTTTGCTGTTGCGTCTTTCCTTCTCACTTAGTGCAGAAAAGGATGAATGGAACCCACATGAAAGGACTGGACCCATTTAAGTAATTAATTCCCCAAAGAGAAATCATGAGAAGTATGAAAGGAAAGCCTGTAGGGGATCAGAAAGATAAACTGAGAAACTGTGGTAGCTTGGGAAGCTATAGCAGAGCTTTATAGATCAGAGGTTCCTCTCCGAGTGTCCAGGCTCTTACCAACATTATCCATGGTGACCGTCACAGATTCCCCACGCATGGGGAAGAGGGTCAAGGTGTCCTCATGTCTCTTTCCATAGATGAATGAGTGCCCAGTGAAGTGAATGGTCAAAATGTCATCCTGGGTTCCTACACTGCAGAAGTGCCACTGGACGGTGTCATCAAAGCAGAATCCGAGTGTGGGTATACTCTCAGGGACATAGCCGTTGATCGCTGAAAGAGGAAATTCCATTAACATGCAAGCCTCCGCCAACAAAAGGATGTGTGTCGAACTGTACCTTCGATTAATGTCCCAATATTAACTTGGTTGTAGCAAAGCAGTGATTACGATAAGCGTCACCAGCCTGTCTAACATGTGACTACATCAAACTCCGACTTCCCAAATGAGAACTTATTTTCCCTATGTTAGCCAAGGGAGAAGTATCAGGAGAAAGACAAAGCCTTTCATTCCCGTTGACTTACTCATTCATTTGTCAAGTGTGTATCAAATTCTCTGTTTTCCACATTCTGCTTTTAAAGATAGTCTGAACCTCAACTTACAATATTATCTAGAATGAGTCTACCTGAAAGAAAAGCATAATATAAGAAATTCACCTTGACACACTGGTTAGTGAGTAAGAGATAGTGTCCCTCCCAGGCAGGCAGATTTAGCACATTTTGCAGCTTTAATTACACCCTCTTAACATTGAGATAATCTATAGTTTTTATTCAAGTATTGAGTTCACACATTTTTATTATTTTTCAAAGGAACACAGCTTTAAGCAGTATCTTTATTTACTTAGGTTCTAAGGATGGTGCCAAATCACAGGTGTGATTTCTATAAGGGCAGGGCCCACCTCTGCCTGTGCTACCACTCTGGCCCGGATACTAAAGCGATACCTGGCACCAGGGAGCACTTAATGACATAACATGTTTTTTGTTTGCATTTCATTCAGGAGGCTCTTCTAAATGGTCTGTAGCTGTCCTGTCTGATACAGTGGGCGCTGACTCCAAGTGGCTATTGAGCACTTGAAATGTGGATAATCTAGATTGAGATGTGCTCTAAGTGTAAAATACATACCAGATTTCAGAGACCTAGTACGAAATAAAGAAAGCCAATCTCATCCATTTTTATATCGGTTATATGTTGAAATGATAATATTTGGGATATAGTTCACTTTAGGTTTTCATATGGTTACTAGAAATTTTAAAATTATATTTGTGGCTCATGCAGAATTTCTAATGGATAACATTAGCCTAAAACTATGACAGATTCACTGCCAAAAGTGAAATTATGCAAAGAAAGCTGAGTAACTCCCTGTTTGGAATTATTTTCAGGATCCCTGCCTGTTCTGAGAATTCCAATCATTCATATCAGAGAAAGTGATCATAATGGCTCTTGACCCTGAGGAACAGTGGTGGGAACCCTGACCACTGTGGCAAAGTTTGCTTTTAGCAGGCTCAGTGCAATTTCTCTGACTTCTCACAGCAGTGGCTCTAGGCGCCGGGATTGAAAACCACAGCAAATGCCAGAACTTTGGCTCAGGGAATTCCTTCTGTCCTGAACTTCCTACCTCTCACTTCAAACCTCTTCATGAATTGGCTTTTTAAGATTCTGGCTCCCCATCTGCATTTTGCCTCCGTTTGATGTGACCACCCGGCTTTGGATTACTTACCTTGTTTCTGCTCTGGCCACGGAGCCCGTTCAGCTTGCAGGTGGTCTAAAACCCCACATACCACTGACAAAGGCCTAGAGCCCCTGCCTCAACACCCCGCCCTCACCCTGTTCCTCCAGAGCGGAGGAGCCCAGAGCATGTGTGTAAACGCACATGCACATTTGGAGCTTGAGGCCAAGAAGACTTCTTGAGGAGAAAAAGCTTTTGGCCTCTGGTCGTAGGACGGCTGCTCTCGTGTTCCCCAGTAACTTCATCACCAAATGTCTGGGTGGTGAGTGAACTCTAACCCATGCCTCTGCCTTCACGCACAGTCGTCCTCCAAGCATGGGAGGGAAAAACGGATGGACAAAAGCAGTGATGGGACTTACTGCTCATGATGTTTGATTCATAAAACTTGGGGTCATCACGTTTCACCTTGTCGGGATTTTCACAGAACTTGTTGATGTTGTCCTCAATGTACCAGCTCTTGTTCTCATCAAACACAGCAAACACGGCCTGCTGCTCGATGTCTGCTGCCCTCTGGAGGGGAAAAGTGCCCTGTTCAGTGATCAACGTCCCAGTAGAGGACCCACAGCACTGAATTCTTCTCGGAAACCAAAGAGGCACAGTCTTGGGGCCATCGCAGCCACAAAGTCTGGCATTTATGACAGCCCATTTTGTACAAAGCCTTTGTTAGAGCTGAAGGTAATATGCAAAGACAAACAGAGTAGATCAGAAAATTCAGAGACTAAAACATCCTAATAGAAAAATTCTATCTCCTCATGGCAGCTGTAATTCTGTTTTATCTCTGTGAGTGGACACCTTTCCACCCCGATGACTGACTAGACATGCTCCTCATAGTTGCAAGGAGAAAACAGAAGGTTGCAATAGGAAAGCTTTCTACCTCTCTGTACCTGTTTCCTTTCCTCGCTCAATAAATTAAGGTCTTCCAAAGGTCCCTTCCTGATTTTTCCAGGCATTTATTTATTGTGTAGGCCTTAGGATGAACTTGTTTGATTATAACTTAGCCTGATCAGGAATTTTAAGTCAATAATATGGGACTATTATTTTCCAGTGAAGACCTGTATCTTTATTCACTTTTGTCTCTATAATTTAGTCTCACTAGAGATGGACCATTGTCTGGGTCCAACTTCACCAGATTTTATGTCTCCAAAGAATTCTCTCTTTTATTTCTCCCTGGTCCAGGTCTCTAAAGAGAACAAGGATTGGTAGAGAGCTTTACACTTTTACCAGGTGGCATCTTGCTGAGCCCCAAAACAACCCTGTAAAAATTTTTTTAGGAGGATATTACCCATTTAATAAAAGGAAGAAATTAAGAGAGGCTAAGTGGCTTGCTGATGACATACAGAAGACCTGGAATTTCAAACTGAAACAAAATACAGTGTCACGTTGCAGAACTGCCTCCTAGAGTGAGAATCTGGATGGAAGTAGACAAGCAAAACAGCAGCAGCGGCAAAGGAACAAAGGTCGCCCCGTTGCGTCAGAGCGGGCAACAGTATTCGGTTCTCTAGAAGTGAAGCCCCGTCACTCCGCGAGGCCGCCGAGGCTGTTCGGCCGGCGCGAGCTCCCGGCGTGCCCCGTTTGGCTCGCGGGCCGGATACCTGCACGCCTCGCTTATCGAGGGACCGGCTCTTGCAAATGAGCAGCAGGCCCACCAGCCCGGACGCGAGGTCCCTGGCGACGTCCACGTGACTGTAATAGGGCCTCGTCAGGCACTGCGCGTCGTGCTCCGTGGGCTCGTCGGACTCCAGGATGTTCCACGTGTAAGTGTGCGTTTCCCCTGGTCGGACGGCTCGCACCCCGGTCTCGTTGCCTGGAAGGAGACAGAGGCCGCCCGTTTCCTTCTCAGAGCGTCAGGCGGAACCGCGAGCCGTGAGCTCGCGCCAGAACCGACCCGCGCTCGGGAGCCGCAGAGCCCGGCCGGACGCCCCGGAGAGGCGGCCGCGGCACCGCGGGTGGCGGCCCCGGGGGACCGCGTCCCGGGTGAACAGGGTGTGGGACACCGTGTGGGAGCCACCGCCGCGGCCCGCACGCGGTGTGTCGCCGGGCCCGGGCCGGGCGGGGAGAGCCGGCGGCTGGCGGGCGCGCAGCTGCCCGGGCGGACCCGTCCACACCTGAACTGAGGGACGCGTTGGCCTCGTCTTCGTGCGGAGAGAAGGTCACTCCGTGCGGATAAATGCTGTAGACGCGGCTGGCCATGTTCTTGAACACGATCTACAAAGGCGACCCAGACCCATTATTCCGGGACCCGGTCCGGCCGCGACAAGGGACGTGGGCGCCGGCGCCGCCCGGCCCCGCCGGAGGAGCCTGCGCGCTTGCCCTGGGCCGCAACCTCTGCTGTCACCAGCGCGAACCTTCCAGGCCGCTCCACCCCGGGGAGAGGGGGAAATGCAAGGAGAATCTGCACTTCGAAGTGACGTTTTCCCCACAGCCTATCACTCTTCCTAGTCGACCCCGTTCCCTTCCCCTCTCTTCTGGGTTCGACCACATGCGCCTTCAGCTCTGTTCCTTCTCTTTACACCGAGATGCCCTCCAGCCTGTCAGATCCCCTGCGACACTGTCCTTGGTGTCCTCTTCTGAGGGGCACACAGATGGCCAGCAAGGTACAGGCACACCTGCTAGAAAGTACAGAAAAAGGATGGGAGAGCTCAGAAATGAGGGAAGGGAGAGAAGAACAGAGAAAGGCTGCTTTCTCGTCTTTAGTGAGTTTAACCGCACAAAAATGCCTTGTGTGGGGACAAAGGGGTGAAGGGAGGAGCAGTATCTACGCAGGGGTCCCAGCCAGGCTCCTTAATCTTCAAGCGAGAACCTTCTCCCGCCTTCCGTTGGTTGGCTGCCTAAGCATCTGGATCCCCCTTAATCTGTAGACGACCTGCATTCTAGAACCTTGCCAACGTTTGCCACCTTCACTTCTCTGCTGCCCAGCTCCTACCAAAAGCACGATGATGGGACACTTTTTTTTTTTTTTAAAGATTCTATCTATTTACTTGACAGACAGAGATCACAGATGGGACACATTTTTAAGGAGAGCTGTCTGAAGAACACTTAGTGCTCTGAGTCACATCTAAATTTACCCCCATCAGAGACCAGCCAAGGGAGAACTACATACCAAGAGCACAATGGTGACTCGTTTATACTCAATTGGATTTACTGTTCTGTTCTCATCTATAATGACAAACATTATTTTACAAAGCTATGTACTGATTCACTCATTCATTTACTTAAGATTTATTTATGCATTTGAGAGAGAGAGAGAGTGGACATGTGGTGCAGGAGGGGCAGAGGGGGAGAGAGGATCTTGAGCAGACCGCGGCGGAGCGTGTAGCCAGAGGCAGGGCTCCATCTCAGGACCCTGAGATCAGGACCTGAGCTAAAGTCTAGAGTCAGATGCTCAACCGACTGAGCCACTCAGGCGCCCCAGCAACTTATTTATTAAACCAGTTGTAGGGATGCTATCACGGACTCTACCCACTGTATTATACAGTGTCCTCTTTTTAAGGATCCATGGGGGAAACCGGTTTCACTATCAAGGGGAATTATGTTTTGTTTATGACTTCTGTGAATCTTGCCCTGACATATTTTACTTGGATGCTAGAAAACTTTGGACAAAATTTATAGGCAACCTTATAGAAGCATACGGTGTGCTGTGAATTGTAAAAGACTGATGAATCACAGACCTGTGCCCCTGAAACAAATAATACATTCTATGTTAATAAAAGAATAAAAAAAAGATTAAGTGAGAAAGATTAAAAAAAATAAAGCAGCACATGGCATGTGTATACTTATCCATGGCTTTATTTTCTTTGTCCCCGTATCATCCTTCACCTCAATTACATTGGCTCTTTGTTTTATTCCTTTATAATTAGATAAGTTGTCTCAGATTCTTTGTATTATGAGGTAGGCTATAAATCAGAGCAAATACTACATAGAAACTAAAGTTGCATTTGAATTAAAAACTACATGGACATATTTTTCTTTTTAATACAAAGAACCAGTGTTTATAAACTGTCTTTTCTATTTAATTTCTCCCACGGTTCTATATTTCTGTTACTTACTTTGAGTGTGTCTCTGACCTGGGCTCTGATAATCGGGCCCAAGATCCCATCTTCTTTGATATTATCATTCTCCATACGTTTAGTGAAAGATTCATCTTGATACTGTTTGTAGACAACCTTCTTATAATGTTTTCCAATTTGGTTTGAGAAATTATCCAAGTGCAGAGATCTGTATTTTCTTAAAGTGAAATGAATTTTTAGAAAAATTAAAACCATCTGCTCAAGTAAAGACCCCTTACGATTTTGAAACTCCTTGTATTTAGAAGTTCTGCTCTTGGATTAGCTAAAAATGCTAGTTTTCTAAAAATAAATTCATAATGTGGTTTGCAAAGTCCCAATATCTGCTCTTTAGCTGGAAAACCAGAAACCTTTGTCTCCTGCAATACTGACCAAGTTGCAGGCCTGGTTAGAAACAGCTACTTAGAACTTCCTGTCACTCTGGTCACTATAAAGACCTTAGATGTCTCTGGGAAAATGTCTATCCAAAAGAAAGGAGAGGATGTACTGTGAATTTTTCTCAAGGCTTTGTTATGACTTAATTTATGGTAACTTTATTGACTTCCCAGGTATTTCTCGATCTCTAAAAGTTATGCCCCACCCCTGGAAGCTTTGACTATCTTCACTAGTCAGAGTTCTGTGCTGTTGGGCTCACCCTCCTATCATCCATCCAATCCAAGTGCCAACTAAAAAGCAACCACCTCCACTCATCTCCTGTAGCGACTCAATACAAGACTTGGGGCTGCAACAAGAACCACTTTTCCTCTTGGTCCTCTTTATTGCCTTAGTTTGCAAAAACAGAAGTTCTGTGATAGAATTTACTCATTTTCTGCATATATTTTGCACAATAAAAGGCACACACTATTGTCAGAACCCTGGAATCTTACTCAGTTCCATCAATTAGTATCATATAATCTTGAGCAAGTTCCTTTTTTGCTCTTTTTCTCAAATTTTTTGAATAGAAAATACATTCAAATGATTTTGATTACAGAAGAAAGCTCTCACATATTTTTTCCCATCAACCCCACCTCCCTGACCTTCCCTGTATTTTCTAGATATTCACTTGCATTAATTTCATATGTATCATTCCAGAGCATTTTTATGCATAAATATGGAAATGTTACTTGCAAATATAAATATTCTTATACCTTCATCCCTTTAAGAAAAGGACCTTGACTTTTTTTTTGCATTTTCCCAGCTTCCTTGAGGTGATTTTGACAGCTGTATATTTGAGAAGTATACCGTGATGACTTATGTGTGTGTATATGTGATTACCACAGTTAACTCTAATTAACACTCTCATCACTTCATGCAGTATTTGTCATTTTGTGTCTGGAATGTGTCTTAGCATGATCTTCTACAGGCTCATCCACGATGTCTTCAATGGCAGGCTTTCTTCTTTTTTAAGGCTGAGTAATATTCCTGCGTGTGTATAATATTTTCTTTATCCATCCATCCATCAACAGATGCTCAGGTTTTTTCCATATCTTAGCCATTGTGAATAATGCTGCCGTGGACATGGAATGCAGATACCTCTTTAAGATATTGACTTCATTTCCCTTGGATATAATTCAGAAGTGGAATTGCTGGATCATACAGTACTTCTATTTTTAATTTTTGGAGGAGCCTTATTACTATTTTCCATAATGGTCGTACCAATTTATATTCTCACCAACACTGTACAAAGTTCCATTTTCTTCACAGCCTCACCAACCCTGGTTACCACTTTTTTTGTAGTAGCCATCCTCACAGGTGTAAGGTGATAATCTCATTGTGGATATGATTTGTATTTCCCTAATGACTAGTGATGTTGAACACCTTTTCATATATCTATTTTCCAATTGTATGTCTTCTTTGGAAAAATGTCTTTGCTGATTTAAAAAAAATTATTTTATTATTTTTTTAAGATTTTATTTTTAACTAATCTCTGCACCCAGCATGAGGCTTGAACTCACAACTCCAAGATCAAGAGTCCCATGCGTCTCTGACTGAGCCAGTCAGCGAGTCAGCACTGCCTTTCCCCATTATTTTTTTTTTTTTTGCCATTGAGTTTTTTATTTATTTTTAATCTATTTTTATTTTAGGTTTCAACACCTTATTAGAGATATGGTTTCCAAATATTTTCTCTTATTCCATAGATCGCTTTTTTGTTTTATTGTTTTTTGGTTTTTTGAGGTTTTTTTTGGCATACAGAAAATTTTTAGTTTGATGTCGACCCACTTGTGTATTTTTGTTTTGGTTGTCTGCACTTTTTGTGTTATACCCAAAAAATCATTGGGAAGACCCATGTCAAAGGGCTTTCCTTCTATGTTTTCTCATAGAAGTTTTATGGTTTCAGGTCTTATCTTTAAATATTTAATTTATTTTGAGTTAATTTTTGTGTATATGCTCTAAGCTAAGAGTTCAATTTCATTCTTTTGCCTGTGGATATCCAGTTTTTCTAACATTAATTATTGAAGAGACTGTTTTTCCCCCATTGTGTATTTTCAGTGCTCTTGTCCAAGATTAGTTGACTATATATTTCTGGGCTCTCTATTTGTCTTCATTGGTCTAAGTGTCTGTTTTTATGCCATTATTATACTGTTTGCTACAGCCTTGTAATAGAATTTGAAATAAAAAGTGTGATGCCTTCAACTTTGCTCTTCTTGTTCAAGATTGTTTGGTTATTCAGGATCCTTTGTGGTTCTATATGAATTTTAGAATAGTTTTTTCTATTTTTGTGAAAAATGCCATTGGAATTTTGATAGGGATTGTATTGAATCTGTAGATTGCTTTGATTAATATGAACCTTTTAACAAAATTAGTTCTTCCAATTCATTAACATAGGATATCTTTCTATTTGGTTGTCTCCTCTTCAATTACTTTCATCAATATCTTATAGTTTTTGGTGTATAGACCTTTCACCTCCTTGGTTAAATTTATTCCTTAAACATTTTATTATTCTTAATTCTATTGAAATGGGATTGTTTTCTTCATTTCTATTTTGGATAGATTGTCATTAATTTAATAGGTACAGCTAACTTTTATATGTTGATTTCATATCCTGCAACTTACTGCATTCTTTTATTAGTTCAAATAGATTTTTGGTGGAATGTTAACTTTTTTCCATACATTAAATCATATCATCTGCAAAGAGAGATAATTTTATATTTTCCTTACCAATTTGGATGTCTTTTATTTATTTTCCTTGCCTGATTGCTCTGGCTAGGATTTCTACCACTATGTTGACTAAAAATGGTAGGGACTCTTGTCTTGTTCCTGTCTTAGAGAAACAGCTTTCTTTGAATATGATGTTAGCTTTGGGTTTGTCATATATGGCTTTTATTATATTGAGGTACATTTCTTCTATACTTAACTTGTTGAGAATTTTTATCATGGAAAGATGTTGAATTTTGTCAGTTGTTTCTTCTGCGTCAACTGGGTTGCTATTATGACTTTTATCCTTCAATTTGTTAATGTGGTATATCACATTTATCACATTTATTGATTTGTGCATGGTGAAAAATCTATGCTTCCCAGCGATAATCTCACTTGATCATGGTGTATGATCATTTTAATGTGCTGTGTATTTGGTTTGCTAATATTTTGGTGAGGATTTTTGCATCTGTGTTCAACAAGGATATTGGGCTCTCATTTTCTTTTCTTGTATTGTCCTTATCTGCTTTGATGTGAGGAGAATGGCTTGTAAAATAAGTTTGGAAGTGCTCCCTCTTCTTCAATTTTTGGAAGAATTTGAGGATTCGTGTTAGTTCTTTAAATGTTTGATATAATTCATCTGGGAAGCCATGTGATTCAGAACTTTTCTTTATTTGGAGATTTCTAATTAATGATTCAATCTTCTTACTTATTACTACTCTGTTCAGATGTTCTATTTCTTTAAGATTCAGTCTTGATAGTGTGTATATTTCTAGGAAATTATGCATTTACTCTAGACTATCCAATCTGTTGGCATATCATTGTTCATAGTAGTCTCTCAAGATCCTTTGCATTTCTGTGATATCGATCGTAATGTCTCCTCTTTCAGTTATAATTTTAACTATTTGAATCTTCTCTTTCCTTGGTTAGTTTAGCTAAAGGTTTGTCAGTTTGGTTTATCTTTTCAAAAAACTAGCTCTTGGTTATTTTGATCTTTTTTCTTTCCTTCTTTTTTTTAAATTAACATATAATGTATTATTTGCTTCAGAGGTATGGCGATCTTTTCTATTATTTTTCCAGGGTCTACCTCATTTATCTTTCCTCTAATCTTTATTTCAGTCCTTCTGCTAAATTTGGGTTTAATTTGCTCTTCTCCCTGCCCAGCAACTTGAGGTACAAAGTTAGGTTTTTCATTTGAGAACTTTCTTTGTTTTCTAATATAGGCATTTATTTCTATAAACTTCTCTCACGACTGTTTTTGCTGTATTCCAAAGTTTTTGTATGTTGTGTTTTCATTTTCACTTGTCTCATGATATTTTTTTGATTTCCCATTAGATAAGTTTTTTACCATTCCTGAAAGTGTATTTAATATTCAAGTATTTGTGAATTTCCCAATTTTCTTTCTTTATTGATTTCTAGTTTCATACCACTGTGGTCAGAAAAGACACTTGATATGATTTTGTTAAGACTTATTTTGTGGCCTAATATATGATGTATCCTAGAGAATATTTCATGTGCACTTGAGAAGAATATGTATTTTGTTGCTGTTGGATGAATTGTTCTCTACATGTCTATTAGGTCCACTTGGTCTATAGTGTTCTTCAATTCCACTATTTCCTTATTGATTTTATGTCTGGATGATTTACCTATTGCTTAAAGTGAGGTATTTAAATCTCCCACTATTATTGTGTTGTTGTCTATTTCTCCATTCACTTCTGTTCATATCTACTTCATATATTTAAGTGGTCCAATGTTAGGGATATATGTACTTATAATTGTTATAAATTCTTAAAAAATTAACCTCTTTATTATATAGTAACCTTGTCTCTTATGACAGTTTGACTTAAAGTCTATTTTGTCTTATGTAAGTATAGCGAATCCTGTCCTCCTTCAGTTACCATTTGCATGGAAAATTTTCATCCCTTTACTTTGTTTTATCAAGTATTATTATTTTTAAGATTTTTATTTATTCTTTAAAATTTCTTTTCAGTGTTCCAGAATTCATTGTTTATGCAGCACACCTCGTGCTCCATGCAATACGTGCCCTCCACGATACCCACCACGGGGCTCACCCAACTTCCCACACCCCCCGCCCTCCAAAACCCTGTTTGTTTCTCAGCATCCACAGTCTCTCATGGTTCGTCTCCCTTTACTTTTAACCCATATGTGCCCTAAAGCTAAAGTGAGTCTCTTGTAGACAGTATATTGTTAGATGTTAGTTTTTTATCCATCTGGCTACTCTATTATCTTTTGATCGGAGAATTTAATCCATTTATATTTACAATAAGCATTAATAGGTAAAGACTTATTATTGCTATTTTGTTGTCTTGACTTTTTTGTAGTTCTTTTGTTCCTTCCTTCCTCTGTTGCTATTTTCCTTGTTATTTGTTGATGTTTTTGTATTTGCATGTTTTTATTCCTTTATATTTTGTGTATCTACTAGAGGTAGAAGTTTTGGCTTTGTGGTTATTATGAGGCTCACATAAAACATAGTTCTAACAGCTTACTTTAAGGTGATGACAACTTAAATTCAATTGTATAAAAACATCTACACTTTTACTACTCCCTCCCAATTTGTGCTATTGATGTCACACTTTACATCTTTTTATATTGTATATCCATTAACAAAGTATTTTAGCCTTGTTATTTTAATACTTTTGCCTTTAGATTTTTATTTTAAAGTCTTTTTTTAAACTAAAAGTCATTATATACCACCATTACAGTACTAGAGTATTCTGAATTAGACTATATATTTACCTTTTCCAGAAACTTTTATACTTTCATGTTTTCATATTGTTACTTAGTGTCCTTTCATTTCAACTTGAAGAACTCTCTTTGGCACTGTAAGGCAGGCCAGTGATGTTGAGCTCCCTCAGCCTTTCTTTGTCTTGGAATGTCTCTTCACTTCTGAAGAAATCTCTTCACTTCTGAAGAAAAGCTTTGCTGAGTGTAGTATACTATTCTTTGTTGGCAGAGGGTTTTTTATTTTTTTCCTTGCAGCACCTTGAGTATATCATCCCATACTCTCCTGCCCTGTAAGATTTCTTCTGAGAAATCTGTGGATAGTCTTATGCGGGTCCCCTTGTATATGACAAGTTGCTTATCTATTGCTAATTTCAGGATTCTTTCTTTGTCTTTGACTTTGGATAACTTGATTATCATGTATCTCAGGATGATCTTTGGGTAGATCTTGCTTGAAGTCCTCTGAGCTTCATGAATCTATATGTCTATAACTCTCCCAAGATTCAGGAACTTTGTAGTCATTATCTTTGTATAAGCTTTCTGCCCCTTTATTAATTCTCCTTTTGGGACTCTCATAATGCATATATGGTAATTAATTCTCCTTTTGGGACTTTCATAATGCATATATTTGATGGTAAATATAAGTCATGTGAGCTTTCTTTATTCTTTTCCATTCTCCACCCCCTTTTTTGTCTCTATAACTAAATAATTTTAAATTACCTATTTTTGAGTTTGCTGAATCTTTCTTCTGCATGATCAAGTCTGCTACTGAAGTTCTCTATTGAATTTTTAAAATTCTGTCATTATACCCTTCAGTTCCAGGTTCTCTGTTTGGTTATTTTTTATGGTTTTAATTTATTTGTTATGCTTATTTTATTCATGCATTGTTTTCCTGATTTCATTTCTTTCTTTCTTTTTTTTTTAAAGATTTTATTTATTTATTTGACAGACAGAGACCACAAGTAGGCAGAGAGGCAGGCAGAGAGAGAAGGGGAAGCAGGCTCCCTGCTGAGCAGAGAGCCCGATGATGCGGGGCTCAATCCCAGGACCCTGGGATCATGACCTGAGCCGAAGGCAGAGGCTTTAACCGACTGAGCCACCCAGGCGCCCCCCTGATTTCATTTCTTTGCCTACCTGTCCTCTTGTCCCTCACTGAAGTTCCTTAAGATGATTGTTTTGAATTTTTTGTCAGACAATTTGTAGATCTCGATTTCTTTCACATTGGTTATTTGAGCTTTATTAAGTTTCCTTTGATGGTGTCATTTTTGCCTGATTTTTTTGTGATTCGTGTAGCCTTGTATTCATGTACATTTGAAGGAGTAAACACCTTCTTCTGGTCTTTACTGACTGATTTTGTCAGGTAAAGACCGTCTCCTGTCAAGTCTCTGGGCTGCTGGGATTGCCTCTGTGATCACAGCTGAGTGAAGCTGGAACCAGGTCATGTGGCTGCTTCTGAACCTAGAGTGGCATCTGTGGTTAGTGGGCCTTTTACCAGAGGGTCAGGTGGGCATGGATCCTGTCTAGTCTCTGGGCAGATGCAACTGTCTCTAGGACCTTGGTCAGTAGAACTAGTGCTGAGATAGTGGCTTATTTCAAGGTTTATAGTGGAGTCTGGAAATGGCAGTGCTGTTATTAGGTTTTTTGATGGGTGTGGCTCCCATCTGGTCCTTGAGAAGGTTCCCATCAGGTCATTGGGTATATCCCTTGGTGGGCAAGACTGCAGTTGGGAGAGCTGGAGCTGGGTTACAGTGATGCTTCAAGATTTACTGTGGGACTGAGGTCTGCAGACCAGCCTCCTGGGGCATGGATGGATGGGATTCCCTGAAAGTCCCTGAGCTGGCAGGACTATTCCAGGGCTGGAGCTTGTTACAGGGCCACTTTAAGATCCATACACCATCCAAGGTCTGTAGGCCACCCTTCAGGGTCATGGTCAGGTATGACTTCTGGGTCCTTTGGCAAATGATGCTGGTGTCAAGACCAAGGTCAAGTGGGGCAGTAGCTGAGTCCATAATGGGACAAGGTTGCTTCCAAGTTTGTAGCTGGGAGCATCATCAGTGAATCTACCATCTAAGCATGATGTGCCTTCTCAAAATATCCTTCCTTGGTCTTGGCTTCTGTTAGGAAGGTCTTGCAATTTCTCAAATCTACCTGGATCCCAAAGCTGTCACAGAAGTACTTTTGTTTGTGGATAGCTGTCAAATTACTCTTGCTGTGGAGGGATATGGGCAGGGGACCTCTTCTGCCATTTTTACCTCCCTTGACCTGTTAATCTAATAACATAACTTGGAGAATTTTTTATAGTAGTATATAGGGAGTGTTTACGTCCTTTTTTGAAAACGGATGCATAGTAGTCCATCATATGGATGTGTCATAATTTGTTAAACTCATTTCCTACTGAAGGACATTTCAGGTTGTTTTCAAACCATTGCCACTACTCACAGTGCAGCAGTGAGTATCCAGTACATACGTCACTTCATATGTGAACGATACACCTACATAGCAAATTCCCAGAGCATGATTGCTGGGTCCGAGGACACACGCATTTATCATTGTGAGCACGTGCGTTTGTAATGATGATACATATTGTCAAATCGTCCTCTTGACTGGCTGTATCAGATTATTGTCCCACCAACAATGTATGATAGCACTTGTCTCCTATAGCCTAGCCAACAGATTATGTCATCAGGTCTTATGAGTCTGCGAGGTGGAAAATAATGTCTCAGTGGAGTTTAATTTGCACTTCTCTTATTGTGAGTGAACTTGAGCATTTTTCAAGTGTTAAGATTATTTGAATTTCCAAATTTCTTACTCTCTCTGACACCTTTTCTAATCTACAAAATAAAATAAAAGCTGTTTCTAACTTGGAGAGTTGAAGTAAAACTCATAGCAAATGTTTCACATGGTGCTTGGCAATAGCAAGCATCCAACAAGTGGGTAGCGCTATTACTAGTAAGACAGTTGCTGCTGCTGTTACTACTACTACTACTCCTACTGTTACTACTGTTACCACTACTACTACTGCTGTTGCTGCTGCTGCTACTGCTACTATTACTACTATTATTGTTACCACTACTACTACTACTACTACTACTGTTAATACTCTCATGCTGCTGAGTTCCCATGGGGAGTTTAGAGTCATTCTAGATTGATTTGGACAAAAAGAGCTGAATCCAATGCATGTATACCCCTGAGAGCAGTCAACTCATGGCATTTCACCCCATGCTTCTAAGACCCCTGAACCTTCACATAGTGGTAAGAACCCCAGAACTCACTTGTCCATATTCACTGGTATTACCGGTGCATAGTCCCAGATGACTTCCTCCGCAGCAATGAAGTATTCCCACCTCTTCATGTGCCGCCTCTGGTCACGAGTTAGTTTCTTAGGATTCCTGGTTTTCTTCGCACAGTTTTTAATGTCAATGTGAGCCTGCATCCCAGCTGAATTAGAATACAAAGGCAATGAAAGGATTTGAAAGAAGAAATTACAGCCAACCCAAATGTCTATCTTTTAAATAAATTTGTGGAAGATTTAAGTAATTACAGCAAAAGTGCTGCTCAGACAACTTCTGAACATTTTAGTATGCAGCTCTTTCAGTGCCGTAGAGAAAGGAGTAAGAATTAAAAGCAAAGGAAAGAAAAGATGGGTTAAAGAAAAAACATGAAAAGATTTCATTTCTTTCAGAGGAAAAAAAATGTAATTTCCAGATCCTTAAAATCTTATGACTTAAGTCTTATTGATTTCTCATTTTTCCCATCATCTGTCCCTTTATTTGTAGAATGGAGATGATGCTAGCATATACTGTATAAAATCATTGTTAAGAATTAAACAAGTTAATATACATATTGCTTAATGTCAATGATGTTAGTTTTGCTGTTGTTGTTTTATTATTATTGGGGACTCTACCGAGGGTATTGTGACAATTTCATGACTTTGAATATAATTTTGACTGCTCAGTGCAAACAGAAAACAAAATGGTCCCATTGAAGTGTCTCTTTCGTGTGTGTCTGGCTTTTACATACATTGTTTTGGTAAGAAAATTATTTCCTGTAGTGATATCACTTACTTACATTTTGGTCTCTGTTTACACAGACCCTCTTCCCAACAGTTTTATTTATTATTTATTTACACATTTATTTATTTATTCTTAACATATAATGTATTATTTGTTTCAGGGGTATTCCCAATGGTTTTAAAGCAACAATGTGTAATAGAACAATTAGGTATTTTGTTTACAAGATACCGTGTAACAGCCTGGGCTGACTCTTTTTCCCACCAAAACTTACTGATGTTCCTTAAAGTCCACTCCTTAGCTAGTTAAATACTATGCTTTTTCTATTCAACATACGTCCATTGGGCTCCTCTTTGTGCCAGGATTTGTGTCCACCTTGTTATAAAAGATAATCTTTCCATGTTCAATCTTTTGCGCTTTCTGTAACTTAGTGCTTCCATAAATTTGCAGATGTTTGATTTGTTCTCGCACTTAGGTTTTTTCTTTAGCTGAATACTAAATAGCCCAAAGAAGAATAACTCTATGTATGTATTTACTTCCTTCCCTTTTTCTCCTTTTGAGGAAGTGGACCCTTTTTCAGCTTTTGCCTCATTTTAGGAAATCTTTATCAATTCCTCCACTTCCTCTATCCCAACTAATGTGTTAAAGTCTAAGTGCAGAACAATGAAATTCTGTTCTCAGGACGAAGGCACTATGTCTGGAGCATGGGTGGCTTGAAAAGGCAAAGGAAAATGAGGGAATTCGTGCTTGGGATGGGAAGATCCTATACTCACAAGCAAAACTGTTGGAAGAATTTCTTACCTTGAAAATGTCTTGGGATGAGAGAAGATATGATCCACTTTCCCTCTGGGCTCATAGTCATGTTTGCAGTAGTGGATGTAGCACTGACAAGGGTGATAGTCGAGATCTTATGATGATTCTGCTCCAAGACCTGGCCGTTGAAATGAATGGAGAACAGCTCTGGCCCAGAACTCATTCCGATCAGATGCCAGCTAATGTGGTCATGGGCACAAACTGTGATATCTGAGAGGGAGAGGTGGGGGGTACAACAGGCAGTCAGCACTCTGTAATAAACAATTCACTCACCAGATACATACTGATCACCTGCTGTGCATCAGCCATTGTTTCTGGGGGTACAGACCCTCTAGCTGGGCCTCCTGCCCTGGCAGAGCAGACATCTGAGTGTTGGGCAAACAAGCAGTCACAGCTCACGGCAATGAGTGGTGCTGGAGAGCTAACAACAGAGCCTGGAGATGAGCAAAGTTAGTGCAGAAACACAAGGATTGATTGCTAAGGGATTAGGCCAAGGAGGGAACCAAGTAGGTCACCAACCATCCTGGTCTACGTGGGACTGAGGAGTTTCCCAGGGTGCAGGATTTTCAGTGTTGAAACTGGGAAAGCCGTCTGAAAGCCTGGGCAGTTGGTCACTCTAGAATCAATTTGCGCTCAGCCGGAAGGTGTCACCGGAGCCTGCTGAGTTCAGGGGTCTAATCAGGTCTAATCAGGTAAGGCTGAGTTCAGGGGTCTAATCCTCTCAGCTGGACAGAGGTCAGAGCTCTGCCTACGGGAAAGATGTGAAGAGGCTTTAGGAATTCTTGATTGCTTCTTTAACCACTTGTTGATTGTTTAAATGACAATGCAGTGAATTACTCTGTGGGGTATAGACTCTCCTTAAATGCAATGGACAAATTTTCATTATGCCAGGCCACGAGGAGCATTTTATGGATAAAGAAATGGAAACAGAATAAAAGCTGAGTTTCGTTCCATCTTTGTGCTCAGGGTAACTGGGAAAATGCTAATGTGCTTGGTGGGAGATTCCAACCCTAGCTCCCATCCTTGGCTTGGGTTTTGAATTTCAGATTCATAACCCCTAGATACTACATTATGGAGCTGAGAATCAGTCCCTTACCTACAGAGAGGCTGAGGGGCTTGTGTTTTTTAGGAGACCACTGTAACCTGGCGGGTATTCCTAAATCATGGGTGAGAACAAGAAGCTAGAACCTGTGAACAAGAAGCTAGAAGGTAGGAGGCTTTGACGAAAGTGTTTATGTACTCCAAAGAAATTCTTACACTGAATTAAGCATTTAACATATCTGTATTAGCATTTGTCATATTTACTTAATTTACCTTGCTCCATGAGGCAGTTGTGAAGCATTAACTTTTCTGTTTCTACTAATGACAGCCCCTATCCTGCCTCTCTTAAGTCCCAACTAGTCTTTTTGACTATAAATTCATAAACTCTATGACCTGATCAAGTTATTAATTTTTTGCATAGGACTTGCTTTTGTATGACTTCTATACATTTACAGAAATGTAAAATGTAAATACAGAAATTACAGAAATGATTCACTCTGCCAGGACACAGATACAATGTGTCTTTGACCACTCCCCTCTAAGGATTATAGCACTGGCAATGTCTTTTATATGTAAGAAACTTCCTAACAATCTCTGCCCAAGGATGGATGGCTAATCCGTTTTTGTAAATAGGCACATTGAGGTAATTAACTACCAAGGACCACACCAAGCTAGAGATGTGAGCAAGGCTTGACTCCGATCTCCTAAGACAGACGTCAATTGACAAAGTTTTGGGGACTCTGAGTAACAAGCAGAGTCATCTGAGTACATCTGTAATAAACCAGGTGGGAAGGGAGAGCCAAATGAAATAGAATAGAATTTAAAAATGAAGTCCAGATCTCAACCTTGGATAAGTTTTGTCTTTAGGAAGTAAGCCAGTTGCAGTTGTCAAATACAGAGAATGGCCTCTGAGAAACTTAGTGTTCTGAAGTATGAAATTATTTAACAAAATAATGTTTTCATTTTTCCATTCTTTTTCCTTAGGGTGTTTGGTTCTAAGTCATTTCTATCAGAGAGATGGAAGAAGAAGTCTGGATGGGAGTCAGTTTTGTTGTTTTTCTTTCTCTTTTTTAAAAGGTTTTATTTATTTGTCAGAGAGCGAGCGCACACGCATGAGCAGGCAGAGTGGCAGGCAGAGGCGGAGAGAGAAGCAGGCTCCCTGATGCGGGGCTGGATCCCAGACCTTGGGATCATGACCTGAGCCGAAGGCAAATGCTTAACCAACTGAGCCACCCAGGAGCCCCTGTTTTTCTTTCTCTTAACAGTTGCTATGATTTTGCTTTTCCACAAGAGTCTCCATGAAAATGGAGAGTCACCGTCCTACACGTCATTGGGCATTACTCATCCACTGCCTTTTGAAACGCTCCCAGTATTTTTGTATGTGGCGTATTTCTCCTTATCTACTCATCCCCACTCCTTGCATTCTTTCTGTTGATGCTTCCTGCTAGGGATTGACCTTGAATTTGTATTCTGTAAGGCTTTCTCTGTGAAGGAAGGCATGGTCATCATGCAGAGGAACCACAGAACTCACTGAATGCTGAGCTTGTATCTTGGAGGTCTTCCTAGAGGCACAGGGCAAGGTGGAACCTGCTCACATCCCTACATCCCATACATTAGCTGCACACTCTTTCTCTGTAGAAGGCTGATGAATTGCTGACCTCTGAAACCAATAATACTTTACATGTTAATTGAATTTAAATAAAAATTTTTGAAAAAAGAAAAAAATTCTCCATATATGCATCTTTTCTCAAAATAATATTTTGACAAGCGAACAGCCATGAATTTGGCAAATGATAACAATATACTCTTCTGAAGAATGTTCTAGAAATGCTTTCCTGGATCTCTTCTCATGGCCGCTCATGAATCAAGAGTCCAAGTAGGGCAGCATTTGTACGTGTGCTCCGTCTGCATATTTGACCCCTGAAATACTTAAGTCGCCCTCCTGGGGGGCTGCTGTTACCCTTTCAGACACCATTAGTTCAAAGTCTGGAGCTGCATGTCCAAGATGGTTGTCGCTTGATGAACATGGAATGAGGTGTGCTATCAGCGTAAAGTGTGCTGAATTTCAGAGATTTAGTATAAAGAGGAAGAATGTAAACTATCTCACTAATAACTGTTTATATTGATCCTAAGTTAAAATGATAACATTTTGGATATATTGGGTCAAATAAAATAGTGTCAGCATTAAAAAAAAAAAACAACCCAAGGGCGCCTGGGTGGCTCAGTGGGTTAAGCCTCTGCCTTCGGCTCAGGTCATGATCTCAGGGTCCTGGGATTGAGCCCCGCATCGGGCTCTCTGCTTGGCGGAGAGCCTGCTTCCTCCTCTCTCTCTCCGCCTGCCTCTCTGCCTATTTGTGGTCTCTGTCTGCCAAATAAATAAATAAAATCTTAAAAAAAAAAAAAAAAGCCCAAACCCAAAACAAAACAAAGAACAGATGGTGGGATCTTGAGAACAACTTAAGTAGATTACGTTATCTTTCTGACTGGGAGTTGAAAAACAGTGTGTATGGGGGCACCTGGGTGGCTCAGTGGGTTAAAGCCTCTGCCTTCAGCTCAGGTCATGATCCCAGCATCCTGGGGTCGAGCCCCACATCGGGCTCTCTGCTCAGCAGGAAGCCTGTTCCCCCGCCCCCGCTGCCGGCCTTTCTGCCTACTTGTGATCTCTGTCTGTCAAATAAAAATCTTAAAAAAAAGAAAAGAAAAGAAAAATAGCGTGTATGAGTTTGGTCAACTTCTGTAGGACTTCAAGGAACGCAGTGGACCAAAGGCACTGATGACTCCGCTGTGGCTGGATGGCATCCGGCCACATGTTACCTGGCATTGTTCCGTTCACATAGCCATTGACTGTGTACATTAAAGACGATGACGGGCTCCAGCTCTTGCTTTCATCAAACACAGCAAACATCAGCACATGTTGTTTATCAAACATCTTTTGAATCCCGTCGTCAGTGAGGGTGCCTATGAAAGAAAGGACGTACTTTTTAATAGCATCCCAGACAGAAGACTCTCACTAGGTACTCAAGACAGCAAAAAACTTAAGGCAAACAGTCAATCATGATGATAACTTTAAGAAGTTCTTATTTTAAAAAATAGCATCTTGGGGCCCCTGGGTAACTCCGTTGATTAAGCAGCTGACTCCTGATTTCGGCTCAGGTCAGGATCTCGGGGTCCGGAGATCGAGTCCTGCATTGGGCCCCACACTCGACACAGACAGACTCTGCTTGAGATTCTCCCCGCGCTGTCTGCTCCTCCCCCAACTCACATGCACACACACACTCTCTCTCTCTGAAAGAAAGAAATAAATAGATATCTATTTATTTATTTATTTATCTTTATTTATTTATTTGACAGGCAGAGAGAGCACAGGCAGGAGGAGAAGTGGGAGAGGGAGAAGCAGGCTTCCCACTGAGCAGGGAGCCTGATGAGAGGCTCAAACTCAAGACCCTGAGATTACACCCCGAGCTGGAGGCAGATGTTTAACTGACTGAGCCACCCAGGTGACCCAACAAATAAATCTTTAAAAAATAGCATCTTTATCAAGTAATAGTGATTGGGGGCTTACTAAAATCCTAGTGCCACAGTAAGGATTTTCTCTGACATCTCATAGCCTTGAGGAGTGGGATTTAGAGGTCAACTTGACCAGGCGCAAAGAAAATACCTGTGGTGATGGTCAGGGCTTTAGTGAAAGTACTCATTTTCTCGAGTGTCAAGAGGCCAATAAACAGGGACTTCAGCTCAGCGGGCAAGGCACCCTCCGAGTCTCACACAGCCACCTTGCTTGTACGTGTGAGGCAGTGTTAGAGAATTTGTGGAAGTCGAGATTAGTTCATTCTCTCAGCTGAGAAAGGCAGCTGACAGTAAATGAAAGTAAAATGAAGTAAGAGCTTTTTATAAATTTGAATTTTTTTCAGCGCCACCACAGTATTTTTATATACCAGGCTATGTAAATGTGTATTTGTGCAGTGAGTAAATGAATTAGGAATGTGTATATGTGTGTATGTGCGTATGTATGGACAGGGGGCGGGTCTATCACATCATTTCCCACAGAGTAGTTTATTGTGGTTATGTTTTTAATTACCATATAATTAATTATTTGCTTTAGGGGTACAGGTCTGTGAATCATCAGGCTTACACGTCACAGCACTCACCATAGCACATACCCTCCCCAATGTCCATCCCCCAGCCACCCATCCCTATCCCCCCAGCCCCCAGCAACCCTCAGTTTGTTCCCTGAGATTAAGAGTCTTTTGTGCTTTGTCTTCCTCTCTGGTTTTGTCTTCTCATTTTTCCCTCCCTTCCCCTATGATGCTCTGTCTTGTTTCTCAAATTCCTCATATCAGTGAGATCATATAATTCTCTTTCTTTGATTCACTTATTTTGCTCAGCATAATACCCTCTAGTTCCATCCATGTCGCTGCAAATGGCAAGGTTTCATCTTTTTGATGGCTGCATAGTATTCCATTATGTGTATATATACCATATCTTCTTTATCCATTAATCTGTTGGTGGACATCTAGGTTCTTTCCATAGTTTGGCTATTGTGGACATTGCTGCTCTAAACATTCGGGTGCACGTGCCCCTTCGGATACCTGTATTTGTATCTTTAGGGTAAATACCAGTAGTGCGATTGCTGGGTCATATGTTAAAGTTCTTTCCAAGTACTCTCAGCAATATATAGGATGTATACTTTCAAAAAGACTTGGCCTTGAGGTAAATGTTAGAGATCTTATGGACCTGGTATCAGAACATACTCTCAGACAGGGATTTACTTGGGAGAGTCTCCCAGGACTGAGAAAAAGGAAGGATTAGAAGAAACAGGAATATTCCAACCCTCAAATACCAATGTGAAGCAAGGATCTGGTTTCTGTGCTTCTCCCTTTGATTTACAGAAAGGTTCCAAGATTCTCCCAATCCTCATTTCATTATAGTATACCTTACCATTTCAATCTTAGTTGTTGTGCTCTCTTTTTTTCCCTTACCTTTCTTACAAATGAGCAGAGGTCCAATCAGCCCAGAGTTGAAGTCCTGTATCAAATTTTCATAGGAGTAATAGATGTGTGTAAGGCACGGAGGGTCATCGTGTGTGGGTCCGCTGTCCTCACTGATCTTCCACTCGTACGTATATTCCTGGCCCGGAGCTATGGCATCATCCATCTTCTCCACCAGGAATGTGTGGTCAGAGTAAGAAGCACCTGGAGAAGAAGAGCCATGAAAACAACTGGATAGTCACTGAGGACAACTTTTTATCATCCTCAAATCTGGGGGAACATAACATCTCTATAGAGGTATATATGCCTTTCAATAGTGAACCTTCATTATTTGGAAAAATTCACATATACCCACTTCTATGTCTATGCAATTATAAGGGCTTTGGTCTTTGGTGATTTGAAGTGAATCAGAAAGCTACTTGTATATTTGGTAAGGTTTAGAAAGTTGATTTTCTAGGGTATCTAAATGATTAGTATTTAGGTATCATCAGAGAGTTGAATCACTATTGATCAGAAAATCACCTCAAGATAGGAGAATGGGTTTTATTTCTATTTTCTCTATAGTGCTTGACAAGATCTCTTTCATTTAATTGCCTGTTAGCATTGGATGTGAGTACACTCAGAGCTTTTTCTATGTTGTTTTGTTTTTCTTCTGTATTTCATATCTTCTTTCCCACCTCTGACAACCCCAGCCCTATTTTTTCACTTTACCACCCCCCCACCTTGTGATCACCCCAACGATCCCCAGAGTCTTGGAGTCCAGCTCCCTTATGCCATCTGGTCGCTACTGTGATTATGAAATGTGTCTACCATGTGATGTTTAGATGTCCGCCTCCTGTCCCCTGTGTGTCTGAAGACCCACCGTTAACAGTCCCACATATACTCTGGCTGTCCTGACTGGTGGGAGACGAGGAGGATGTAGAAGTTGGTCTTCCTTAGTGGAGAGAGGGAATTGAGATGTGGAAGATGGAGAGAAAAGACTTGGGTGGAACTTCAACAACAAGAAGAAGATGTGGCTAGAGATGGAGCAAGTGAGGTCAGGAAGGGAGAGGTCAGTGTCATGGACAGCGAATGTGTGAGCCATGCCTCGTTTAATCAGGTGAGTTTCACTGTCATCAGCTGGTGCAGGAATTTCTCTTGGGGATGCATTTACCTTCTGTTTGGTACAACAGCTTGATAAATTTGACGTCAAAGGGGAGACCATCAGAGTGGAGACATGGGCGGACAAAAAGGATTGGAAAAAAGGGCTCAGATGTTTTACACGGATGGGGTGAAGGGTTTGCAGAAACCGTTCTTACTGAAGTGATTGTGCTTTTTTAAAACAAATGACTAATTCCTCACTCCTATTCTCTTTTCCTGTTCCTTTTCTTCTCTATTCTTCCCCCTTCCTCTCTTTTTCTGCCTCCCCACTCTCTTCCTTTCATCATCTTTATTGAAGTTACGTACAATAAAATCCACCAGTTTTAAGTACAATGCTTGCTGCGTTTTGACAGATGTGTACAGTGGAATGGCTACCATCATAATGATGGTACAGAACAGTTTTATCGCTCTGGGAAGTTGCCTTGTGCCATTTCCAGTTAGAACCTCCCCCTGCTCTCTGGGCCAGCAGCTCCCGATCTGCTGTCTGCCACTACTTTCCTCTGTCCTCTGAGGTCATGGAAGTGGAACAATATATTATATACCCTCTTGTGTTACTCATGTTAGTGTGGTGTATCTTTTTCCATCTTCTGCCTTTTCCTGTCCTTGTCTTTAAAGTGGATTTCTCAAATTCAGCATATAGTAAGGTAATTCTTTTAATCCGGGCTTACAATCTCTTAGTTGCAGTATTCTTTCCGTTTGCTTATAATATAATCACTGATATGGCTGAGTTTAAATCTACCGTCTTCCTCTTGTTTTCTATTTCTTTTTCTTTTTCTTTTCTTTCTTGCTTTCTTTTAGATTAATCAAGTATCTCTTTTTATCTCCACTATTATTTTATTAGCTTTTCTTTGTTTTATTAGTGGTGCCTTTGGTTTACAATATATGACTTTAACTTATCAGAGTCTACCTTCAAATAATATGATGCCATTTCACTTGTAAGACACTTGCAATAGTATATTTCCATCTCTCCTGGTCTTTGTGCTACTGTTCATCATGCATACAGTTTACTTCTGCATATATACTACACCCCTAATAAATTATTGTGATTTTTGCCTTGAAGTTTAGATGATTGTCTTTTCAACAGATTAAAAATGAGGAAAAACTTTCTCTATGTTTACCCATTTCTGAAGCCTTTTATTCCTTCTTGTGGATCCAAATAGTCTTTTAATATCATTTTTTTTTCCTGACTAAAAGACTTCCTTTCATGTGTTTTTCTGGACTGCAAATGGGAAATTACTTCTTATTTCTATGCTTGAGACAGTCTTTCTTTTTTCTTCATTTTAAATGGATATTTGTGGTACAGAATACTAAGGGGACAAAATGCCCTCCCCCACTGCACACCAGTACTTTAAAGATATCCCTAATTATCTCCTGGCTTGTATTGTTTCCACTGATGTCTGCTGTCACTCTTATTTTCATTTCTGGGTCTTTTCTTTTCTTTTTTTTTTTTTGGTCTGACAACTTTTAACATTTTCTCTTCATCACAGTCTTTAGTAACTTGATCATGATGTGCTTTGGTAAGGGTTTTCTTCATGTTCCTTCTTCTTGGTTTTGTCAAACCATTGTAGGTTTATAGCCGTTACCACATTTGGAAAATTTTCAGCTTTGATGTTTTCAGATATTTCTTCTGTTCCTCCCCATTCTAGGATTCCAATTTCACATATGTAACATCAGTGGATATCGTCCCATAGAATACCAATGTCTTGTTCATTTTGTTCAGTCTCTCTTATCTTCATGATTCATCTGGGTAGTTTCCATCGTTATGTATAATATCCGCTGTTAAGCTCATCTGGTGCACTCCCCGTTGCAGCCGTTATATTCATCTGTAGAGTTTCCATTTGTGTGTTCTCATGTCTTCCATCTCTCTCCTCATCATGCTCTGAACATAAGGAGAATATTGATAATAGCTGTCTGAATGTCTTTGCCGGCCAGGTCTATCATTTATCTCTGGGTCTGTTTCTTTCTTTCTTTCTTTTTTTAAAAAGATTTTTATTTATTTGACAGACAGATCATAAGCAGGCAGAGAGGCAGGCAGAGAGAGAGAGAGGAGAAGGCAGGCTCCCCGCTGAGCAGAGAGCCCGACGTGAGGCTCGATCCCAGGACCGCGGGACCATGACCTGAGCCGAAGGCAGAGGCTTTAACCACTGAGCCACCCAGGCGCCCTCTGGGTCTGTTTCTATTGATTAAGTTTTTTCTTGGCTACGGGTAGTACATTTTCTGCTCCTTCTAATGCTTGTTAATTTTTATTAGCGTTGTGAGTTTTACATATTGGTTTCTGGATTTTGTTGCATTCTTGTAACTAATATGTTACACTGGCACACAGTGAAGAGATGTGGAATTGTTTGGATACTTTCAAGTCTTGTTTTTAAAGTTTTGTCACCTTCTGAGTAGTCTGCAGTCTGGACTAATTTTATCTAATTTCTGTGCCTTCTGTTGACTTACCTCTACTCAGTGCCCGCTTGTTAGGTCTTTCCTCGTTTAATGATGGGAACATAAACTATTTCTCTGTGTGTGGTCCAGGGACTGTTCTGCCTGTTTCTTTCTGGAGGTATTTTCCATACTTTCAATACTCTCCTCTGTGTAGATTCTTAAGAACTCCTTCTCTGTGTCTGTACCATCCTCTTGAGGATTCCATCCTGCAAATCCAGCCTCTTTGGCCTACCAAAAGTCTAAACTCTGTTTCTTTAACTCAAAGGACTATTGAATTCTGCTTGGGTTCACCCTCATCGTGCTGTCCTGGAAACTCTCTCCATGCAGTGAGCCTGGGTACACACAGACCCACCTCATTTGTTATTCTCCTCCAATGGAGCATTCTCTTGCATCGTCTGTTGTTCAGTGTCTGAAAACTGCTATTCCATATGTTTTGTCTGTATGTCTGTCTCATTGTTAAGCAAAAGGGTAGATACAATCCCTCATTTCCGGAAGCCAAAGCTGAGCTGCTGAATTCCTATACGGATTATTTCATTTTGCAGAATATTAGCTACTGTTGCAGCTAACTGCACATTATCAGGACGAGTCTGGTCTACTCACACTCATGTGAGCTTGCACAGCATCAGCATGTTTGGGCTCTCCAGATGGGAGTGTGAAACAAGGCACAAGCTTCCATCATCAACGAGGCATTTGGGCACAGCAGCAACATGCATCATGTACTGCATGGGGTTCTGAGCATGGAAGCCATAAGATAGAAGAGTTGAGTAGATATATCTAGATTCACTGACTTATCTTCATCGGACAGAACACCTTCTTTATATGAATGGGAATGAATAAAACCAAACTTGAAATGACAGTTGTAATATCAGCCTTACAGATAGGAAACAAAGATAGACTTTAATGCTCTTAGAAGCTGACGATTTATTGATGGTGATTACACTGATGGCATATGGAAAAGAATACTAGTTATGGCTGGACCATAAAATCTTGACAGGAGACCGTGTCTGGTTACTATTTGCTCAACACAAATCCAGCTGTATTAATTCATTCGACAAAACTTTCAAGAACATTGCTTTACCCATAAGATGAAGTCCAAGTTTGTTACCATGGCAGCTGAAGTCATTTATGAATTTTCCCAGTCTACCTATCCAGTGTCATCTCCTTCCATACCCCTAAGCTGTGCACATTTTGTACTCCAACAGCTACCTACTACCTCCAAGTCTGCACTCTTCTCTGTGTCTCTAATGCCATCACCCTAGGATAAAACTAGACTCCAGAATTAGCCTATTAACTGGTCACTGGGATTCTGGTACAAGACTACCCTCCCAATCAATTTCCCAACTTGTATACAGAATGATGCCTTTAGACTTTGGATCTTACTTTGCCATACTCTTGTTTAAAATCCTAACCACAGCTTCTTCTTTCACAAAATTCTTAACATGGACCACAAGTCCATATGTGATCTACCCCACTTCTCTCTCCGTTCTCATTGTGTATGACTTTTCCCCTTGATACTATGTAACACTCTCTTGGGCCACCTTTTAGTTCCCCAAACAAGCCAAGCTCCGTCCAACCTCAGGTCTTTGCAGATAGCACTGCCTTGGCCTGGAGTATTCTCCCTCTTTGTCTTTCTT